CGTCGCTGCGGGTGGTATTGTCTGCATGTAGGTGATGTCGTCCATGAACGTGTTGAGAGCTAAATCGTGGGTGTTGCCCGCGACTGGGTTGGTCGTGTCGTGGATGGTCTGATCTGGGTCTGTGCGGCCTTGTTCCCACCATTTTGTGACGTACAAGTTGTATGCGTCGTTGAATTGCCTTGGGCATAGGGTGAAGCCCATTTGGGCGCCTGTGGTGCTCTCGGCTTCGACTGTGCCGTCGGCAGCTTCGAGCGTCAGGGTGGAGTGGTCGATTGCTGCCATGGCGAAGCGCTGGTCGTGCTCGTGTGCTTGCCTAAAGGCAACCGCTCTGAGTAAAGCTCGGTTGGTGGCTGCAAACGCGTTGGTGCCGTCATAGTTGGTTGCGACTGTGCTCACCCCCGCTTGTGCTGCCCTCCATTGGGCCGCTTGTACGCAGAGGATGGCGTTTTCCCGACAGCGGTGTGGGAGGCCTCCTTGGGCCCAGGGTGCCTGCGTTGTAGGTGAGCCACGTGCGTGGATACCTGAATGCCAAGCCATTCCAAAGGAGTCGTAGACATGTAGTATACGTTTACCTAGTATCCCTTCTTTGTTGTTGTGTTTCTCTGCTGGGAATGCTTGTGATCGGTGCCAGTCCAGCGGGGTGACCTGGCAGCTTCTGCATTGTACGAGGAATCGGTCTAGGTACTTCACGTACCCTTTACTGTGGTCCGCAATCGTGTCTGCACCTAGTCCTGCATATCTGCCCCTCCCAACTGCATATGATTGCTGCTCCCAGGCGGCTCCTTCTGTCCCGTCCGTCGCTGTCGGCACACGTCCCAGCCTGGTACCTTCCGTCCAACCCATCCGTCGGAGCAGTTCCCTCCCCTTCTTGCATCGTCCCAGTGTCGTGTAGTGTGCAAGCTCATCTTCATCCCCCCTTTTTTCTGCAGCTGCTACTCGCTTTTCTTCTAACCGTCTGCTGAGCTCTGCTGGGTCCTGAAGATGGAGGGTGGGATCGATCATCAACCATGTCATCTCGATCGGGATGCCCCATGGTGGCCAGGCCCGTCGTTTGCTGGCTCGCTGGCAGTGCCTACGCATCGCTCGCTTGTCGGCCTCAACCTGAAAAAGAAGATCGTGGTCGGTCGGTAGTCGGTCGATGTGTTCCTGGACAAAGGCCTCATGTGCTTCTCTCTCTGCCTTTCTGTCGATAGGCCTTGCTCCTAGTCCCCCTTCCAATGCTGGATGGGCTAGCTCCTGATACCAGTAGTCGCAGGGCCAGCGGGTTCGGGCAGATCTATAGTACCTTTTCTTTGGACCGCGCCCGTTCCTCTGGTACTGGATGCGTAGTCGGTGCATCTCGGCGAGGTTCCGTTTTTCGTAGGCCTCCCATATGCGTTCGACCAGTAGCGCCCGTCTTTGTTTCTCTACACCTTCTCGGGCCTGCTTCAGCGCCGCCGTGACTTCTTTCAGCTCGTTTTGTACCCACTCATAGTCGTCGGCACACTGCTCTGGTATTAGGCTCTGTCGCAGTGTTCGTCGCTTCGTGAGGAGCTCGAGTCGGTATTGTTTGGCTCGCTTCGTAAGCTGGTCGATTTCGTCGAGTGTGCCACTTCTTCCGAAAGTCCTGAGCATGGCCGATCGTGCTGCTCCTCCCAGAAGGTCCCAGGTTTCGTCTGGCGTCGTCGCTCCCAGCGCTCTCTCCCACTGCTCCTCCCCCACCTCCTCCACCTCCTTGTCGAGTTCGGTGAGCAGCATCTCCCTCTTGTGGCCGCTGCGCAGACACTCCATGAGTCCGTCCCTGCACAGTCCCTGTTGTAGGCGGGCGCGCGAGGGGAAGGCAGTATTGGAGGTGGTGACGAGGAGGGTGAGGCCGATGGGGAGGTGGTCCCTGTGCCCTCGTACTTTGACCTTTTGGAGTCTTTTGCCTGACCGATGGAGGACCTCACACCTTTTTACTAGTCCCAGGGCCCCTGTCGGTACAACTATGTGGTCGATACGACTGTTGTATCCTGAATGTCCGTAAAATGTAGGTTCGGCGATGTGGTAGGTGGTGGCTATGCTAAGGTCGCTGGTCTGGCACAGGGTCCTCAAACTCGTGCCGATGGCATTCTCTATTTTGGGTTCCCTGTCTCCTACCGTCGGTCCTCTGCTCCTCACAATAGTCCCGTCTGCTTCTCTCTGGCAACCAAAGTCACTGTTCACATCCCCACCCATCACAATCGTCGTACGGCTGCCTACTCGATTGACACACTGCTCCAGCCATTTGGTTATCGCTCCTGCTAATGGCACGTAGTACGCTAGATGTGTTGGGGCGTAGTAATAAACAAAAAAAGCATAGTCGTGTTGGCCCGTCGAGAGGCGAATTCCTGCAACCCGTCCCTGGAGGCTGGTTGGTGGGGTGTAGATTTCTCGTAAACTGCGCTCGTCGATTCTCTGACTGATGAGGATCGTTAAACCACAGCTTTTGTTGATCCATTTCCCCTTGCGAGCACCAAATTGTAACACGTAGTGGTTAGGGAGGTAGTGTCTCTGTACTGCTTCTGCTCCCGCCCATCTGCACGTTCCGCTGAGGAGGACGACGTCCCAGCTGTGCAATTCCACGCTGATGTCCTCCAGTCGTTCTATGTTCGCTGCCTCTTGTGGGTTGTAGTAGCAGATTCTCATGCCTAGGCACACGGGCACGCCATGCGGGCCCCCCAGTCGCCCCTGCCCCCGAGACCTGCGGGTGTGGGCGCAAAATCGCTGGTGTACAATTGTACCTGAGGTGCGGTCGGTCGACTCTTGGGCACCTCAAACAGCGACTAGGAGGACGAGGAGGAGGAGGAGGAGGGAGGAGGAGGAGGAGGAGGAGGAGCAGGAGGAGCAGGAGGAGGAGGAGGAGGAGGGGGACGAGGGGGAGGAGGAGGCGGCGGCGGCGGCGCTCCATGAGAGTCCAACGTCAGTTCGGACTACGGAGTATATTGTGGGGTTACCACCTCACCTCTGCAAGGTCGGTACCTCACGGCACGTGGGACACGAACGGCACAGCCCGAGCTTCGGGCGTAGCCCGCGTACGGCCCGTGCCAGAGGGTGCGCACGGGGTCCACCAGCAGGCGGCACCGGCGCGGAAGACCGAGGGCGAGCAGGCGCCCTTTCGGGCCGAGGGAGGCGGAAGCTCCTGCCCAGGCATCCGCACGCGGACACCCAGGAGAGAGCATTCCGCACAGGCCTCAGCCAAAGATGGCCCGCGATGGGGGGAGGAGAGGCCGACGGCCCGGGAGGAGCGGGACGGGCGAGAGGAGGGAGGAGGGACGAAGCGACCGCGGGAGGGACCCACGCTTTTGCACCAAAACTTAGAGACGCAGCATCTGCCTCGATGCGACTGAGACGGGGACGTACTAAATAATCATGTCACAGCCTGCCACGTGTAACAGTCAGCTTGATGCCGACTACTTCAATATCAGGTCACCCTTCCTTCGGGCAAGCACGCGCATCTCAGGAGGCTCAAACACAGATCAAACTTCATGCACCATCTGCAGTCGATTGGCTCAAACATTACAGGCTGACACATCGAGCAACACTGAACTGCTGGCCCTCACTCTGGTCACTTGCCGTCACTGCCGATACCATCTCCCACCACATATCTCAGAACGACCAGCACCAGTAGACTCCACTCCTATGCCGCCATCGCCTCGAGAATCTTCTGACGAGGAGGACGAGTTGGAGGAGGAGGACGAGAAAGAGGACGCCGAGGAGGCACTGGTGACGCCTTCGTCTCGCGCCCGCGCCGTCATTCGACTGCGCACACGCAGACGGAGTGGATCCTATGCGGAGCGCCCCAGGGGGGCCCGCAGGCTCTGCTGGGGTGCTGAGACCGCCCCGTCGGCGCCTCCGGCGCCACCCCTGGCGACCTCCGCGCGCCAGGGAGTGGGGTCTAGCGCCGAACCAAAAAATCAGCGTGGAACCCTGACAGTGTTTTCTCCTCGCGGGGCTTCAAGTTATGTTCCCATCCAAACTCGTCGGGCAGGATGAACCTTGCTTCTGACCGACGATGTTGAGGCTCTCATGGCTGCACCATCTCCTTCTGTAGCCTTGGACAGGCAACGCCAGCTGGCGTGAGGTTGGGTTTGGCCAAAAAATGACCTCGCGCCACGATGCTCAGCGTTGCGGTCGCACCATGCACGAGCATGAACAATCGTTGAATCAAGTCGACGGGCACTGCACTGGCACAACCCAGCGCGGCAAAAGGGAACGACGACCGCAACGGCGGCGCGATGCAGGCCCCGCGGCGTATGCACAAAAATCAAGTACAGGCAAAGGATTGCTCAACAACAACGTCTGACCCGTCCAAGACAAAAAAGAAAGGCGCCAACTGTATACACGCACACCGATCCTGGCCAGACCCGTCTTGGGCCCAGGATCGGTGTATGCGCCATCCTGGCTTGGCAAGGAAGGCATATACACCGGTTCTGGGTTCAGGATGGGCCGGCGTATGAATATAGGCCGCCCGCTCGGGCAAGGGGTGTCGTCCACGACACCGTCAGAACCACTCAAAGGTAGGGTCATCGAGCGCACCGTGCGAGTGCGCGTCGACAGTCTTTTTTGGGGGAGTCCTTTAAGCAAAAGAAAAAACGACCTCGCGCCAAGATACTCTGTGGCGGTCGCATCATGCATAAAAACTGAGCGAGCAACCGCCGAATCAATGTGATGGGCATTGCACTGCCGCAGCAGCGCGCGGCAAAAGGGATCGAAGACCGCTACGGCTGCGCGATGCAGGCCGCGCGGCGTGTGCACAAAGCATGTCCAGACAAAGGTTCGTAAAACAAGGGTGGACTCGTCTAAGACATGGTCGGATGGCGCCCAATATATAATATATACACATACACCGATCCTGGCCAGAATCAGTGCGTCAGGACAAACATATCGTGCCAGATGTTTTTGGTTGATCCATTTGCGAACAGAGCATCGTCCAGCGGGGCGATCCCTGTTGGACTTCACCGGGGTGGACCCATGTCGGAGGAGCTGAATGGCGCTGCTGTTCAAACGCGCTGTTCACAGGCTCGGAAAGAGGACGACGACGACGTGCCCGCTCCGCCACCTGCGCAAACCAAAAGGTACTGATGCCGCTACTCCCCGGACCTCTCCTGGGGTGCGTTCTGACCGGAACCTTCGAGTCGAATCCAGCGGTGGCCACGAGGGCCTCCCAGGAGGCCCAGAAAGGGGAAGACGAGGCCAAGGTAGCGTCATCGGTGCCCTTTTCCTCTTCTGACCACCGCCCGTGCCGCCGATCTCGCGGAGCCTCGCCTCCTCCTCCTCCTCCTCGAGGCCCTCCACGACGGGCCCGTGCTGCCTGGCGCCCAGGTCGGCCCGCCGCCGCTGCGCCGTCCCGCTCGGCCCGCCGGCCACCGGCGCGCACCCGCTCCCTGCGCCGTCGGGCGCGCTCCAGAGGGGGTCCGCCGGGCGGTTGCGGTGGCGGCGGTCGCGCCAGCGGACGCGAGGCCGCTGGACGAGCGCCCCCGCGCCCGCTTCCTCGAGGCCGCCCGCGGGCGCCCGGGCGCCCTCGCCCGCGGCGCTCTCGGGCCCCGTGCCCTCGTCGCCCTGCCGCACCTCTCGGGCCGGGCCGAAGGGGGGGGATGGCGAGGGCGACGAGTTAAAAACAATATCACCAATAACCGTTTCACGTCTACATCACGTTCGTGTCGTAGTGTGATTCTGCTTCTAATCACAGGGGGGGTGAGAATCAGCTCACGCAGCCGATTTTCCCGGCGCCTCCCGGCGCCGGGAGGCGCCCATGCATCGAGGCATGGGCCCGGCGGCGGGGCCGAAACCAGCTGCATGCAGCTGATGTCGTACCCCCCCCCTTTTCCCTATCCCCCCGTTTCGTCCAGCCCGAACCTCCGTGCCCGCGGCGGCCGCCGCCTCGAAGCCTGCGGCGACCTTGGACCCCGAGCCCTCGTCGCCCTGCTGCACGTCCGTGCCCGCGGCGGCCGCCGCCTCGGAGACCGCGGCGACCTGCTGCAGCTCCCCGCCCGTGCAGGTGCGCACTGCGGCGGCTGTCCTCAGTGAGCGTTTGCTCTCCCTTCTCGGGTAACGGTCGCTACCCGGGCGGGGAGGGGGTCTCGGGCGGGAGGGTAACGGTGAAGGCGGCCGCGGCATGCACCCGCCAGGGTGCGTCCGCGCCACCGGCGCACCAATCGCCTGTGTGCGCCACGGTCCTTGTGCACACGACAAGGCCCAATGCCTGCGTGGAACACAGCGCCGCCTGTGTACACTGCAATGCCTCCGTACACCACACCAGCCGCGTGCACGCAACAGCGCCTGTGCACACCACATTGTCTGCATGCACCAGAGCGCTTGTGTACACCACAGCGCCCGTGTACACCACAGCAACCATGTGCACAGTAACGCCTGTGCACGCCTCAATGCCTCCGTGCACCACAATGCCTTTGCACACAAGAACGCCAAATGCGCTAGCGAGCACATTGATGGTTTGCGAGGCTTCGTTGCGGGGCTCGCCACAGATCACGGAGGCCCTCAGATCTCGTCATTGATCTCCTCATCCACCTCCTCCTCCCCCTCCTCCTGCACGTCCTCCTCCCTCTTCTCTTCCTCTCCTCTTTCAACGGTCCTGGCGGCCTTCATTGAGAAGGGAAATGCGGAGCGGGACGAGAAGCAGCAGAATGAGCAAGAGGATCAGCAACAGGAGGAGCAGGAGCGTCACAACGGGGTCGAAAGCTCCAACGCCGTCGGCGTTGGTCTCTGACACCACGTGGATCATTCAATCTAGAATGATATCCGCTCCCAGAAGACCTTGGAGGCCCTCGACCCCATCTTCGATATCGATTTCGCGCCGTGGGCCCGTTTCTGCGGGTCCCGGGGCCCGAAACGGGCTCCTGCGTCGCGTTTGATTCAACCTCGAAGGCCCGCTCAGCCGAAAACCGCTGGACATCGGCCCCCAGCCGCCCTCAAAATAGGGCACCTTGGCAATGAATCAGCCTGACATATGCGCACCGCAACAGCCTGCAAGCACCACAACACGCATGTAAGCACCGACACATGCCTTTCAGCACCACGCCATGCCTGGGAGCTACGCGCCGCAACAGGTGGAGACTCCGGAGAGCCTGCGAGCGCCACAACACGTTTGTGAGCACCAAAGCATGCCTTTTGGCACCACGCCATGCCTGTGAGCACACCGCCACACCTGCGAGGGGTCCGCCCCCTAGCATGTGGGGGGGGGTCCAGGCCACCCCGCCGAAGACGATCGCTAGCGTTACCCGGGGAGGTTGGGGCCGGGGGGTAAGAAGCGTTACAATGAGGAGTGAGGATAACAAAATAAACGCTCACTTAGAGAGCAGAAACACAAGCCGCACCCCGACAGGCGAAGCCGCCGATCAGTGAGCGATCCTGAGGAAAGAATCGAACAGGGCAGGGCTGCGCAGTGAACGCCCGGGGCCGTTTTAGTAAACGCCATTCATGGGGTCGGGGGTGGCCCCAGAGTAAGGGGACGAGAAGCCGAAACTTTTCGTGTTCGACCCCGTTGTCGTCCCCCCACTCCCCCCAGATTCAAAGTTGGATCTGGCCTCGCGGAAACCCTGGGGGGTCCACTTCTTCTGTTACCGCGCGCTTGTGCTGCCGAATGCATGGGACCGACTCTGAATCCGGAGGAAAGGGAGTGGACGGACTCGAGGGCTCCACTTTTGTATTCATCTACGGTCCCTTGGGTTAAAATAATCAGCATAGCATACACATAACCTATACGACCTCCCTTCGGGTGATAAGGAGGTTGTTGGGTGGGAGAGGAGCGGGAACCAACATCTGACTCAATCGGTCTCACGATCGATCTCACTCAACGGGACACCACGGGACACCACGGGACACTAGTCGATCTCACTATCGATCTCACTCAACGGGAAACCACGGGACACCAAAGACCACCACGGAACACCACGGGACACCGCGGGACACCTCTCGATCTCACTATCGGTCTCACTATCGATCTCACTATCGATCTCACTCAACGGGACACCATAGGACACTACGGGACACAACGGGACACTAATTACGGGACACCTCGGGACACCACATCGATCTCACTATCGATCTCACTATCGTTCTCGCTCAACAGGACACCACGGGACACCACGGGACACCGGTCGATCTCACTATCGGTCACACTATCGATCTCACTTTTTGGGACACCAAGGCACACCTCGGGGCACCACATAGATCTCACTATCGATCTCACTATCGATCTCACTCAACGGGACACCACGGGACACCACGGGACACCTGTCGATCTCACTATCGATCTCACTATTGATTTCACTTTTTGGGACACCACGGGACACCACATCGATCTCGGTATCGATGTCAATATCGATGTCAATATCGATCTCAATATCGATCGCACTCAACGGGACACCAAAGGACACCACGGGACACCGCGGGCCACCGCCGGACGGACGGACGGACGGACGGAAGGCGGAGGAACAACATTTGTCTTGACTTCGCGCTAGCAACGGCGGATTATTTCCTCTCGCGCGCCCACGCAACTTCGCCTCGCCCGCACGCTCTCACTATCGATCTCACTCAACGGGACACCACGGGATACCACGGGACACCACGGGACACCACGGACACAGCGGGCCACCGTCGGACGGACGGACGGACGGAAGGCGGAGGAGCAGCATTTGCCTTCACTTCGCCCTAGCAACGGCGGGTTCGTCCCTCTCGCGCGCCCACGCATCTTCGCCTCGCCCGCACGCACGACACGAACGAAACAAAACGACTTCCTGGTCTGGGGTCTCCGTTCCACTGCGATCTTACCCCCCAACCTCCGATCTGTCGGAGGTCTGCGCGGATTTCTTGGATCGGCGCTGGACCCTTTTCCATGACGCGCGGAGCGCGCCAGGTGCGGCGCCAGATGCTCCGGCGCCGATCCGACAAATCCCCGCGGCGCTCTGCAAGCTGATGCTAATGTCATGTGCTGGTCCCCGACGGGCCCTGCCGCCTGCGCCCACGGCAGGCATCGAACAGGGGCCCAGCAGACGCCCAGGGCCGTTTCCTGCACGCCAATTGCGGGGGTCGCCCTGCCTGCTTCCTCCCTCGGGTCCTGCCCCCTGCGCGAGGACGGTGCCAGGCGCACGCCGGCGGCCGCCGCGCAGCCGACGACCGCCAGGTCCCGGGCGGCGCGGCAGGCAGCGGCGCCGGCACAGCCGCCGCGGCGCGGAGCTCCGAGGCGAGCGGCGAGCGGCTCGGGCCAGGCGCTGCGCGCTCGCTGCTGGCGGGGAGCGCGCCCCCATCCTTGAGCACCTCTGAAGGGGCCCCAGGACACACAAGTAAACACACACACGCACAAATTGAAGGATTACCCGTATATTTCCGTATTTTCTGGGTTTTTGTCTGCCCCCCCAATTCCCATATTTTCCGATATTTTCTGGGGAATCGACGATTAATTGTGTCTGTGTTTTTTTCCCTCCTGAACCTTCCCCGCCACCTGCGGCAACTCATGAGGGTCTGCCGCACCATCCTGTGGGCTCTTGCGAACTGGCGCTCCTCGACGCCAGTCGACGTTGAGTCGACGCTACATTGGCGCTACCTCGTCGATGACCAGACGCTAATCGACGCTGGTGCATCCCAAAGAAGGCTGCGAGGGTACACGGGACTTTCACAATTTGCTGCCGAACCCGTCTCCCGCGGCAGGTCGAGGAGAATGCGCCAGCTGGCGAGGCCGAGCTGGGCCACGGCCTCGAGGATCTCCTCCCGGCGGCACTGGCTCGGAGGGCTCCTGGCCACGACCGTGGCAGCTCCGTCCCACACCCCCGCGGGCGGCACGCAAACACACACGTCGGCCAGCCCAAGACCTCCTGAAGCGCGAGGCGACGCGCGGAGCCCTGCGGGCTCATCACGCACCTGGCGCGCGGAGCCGCCCCCGCCGGCCCTGCGCTGCTCCGCGGGGCAGCTGCGCAGCGGGGGGCCGCCGGCCTGCGCCGGCTTCGAGGCCTCTCGGCAGGGGCCCTGGTCCATGAGGAACCTGGGCAGCGGCAGCAGCTCCGCCTTGCCGCCGGCACCCTCCGGGAACGCCATGCTGCCTGGAGCGCCAGCGCAGGCCGTCTGCACCCCGGCCTCGGGCATGTAGAGCGAGCTCTGGAAGCGCGGCCTGCGTCTGCCAGCGCTGGCGTGCGCTTGGGCGCACAAACGAAAACCGCCCACGGGGAACAGGCGGCCGACGGGCGGGGTGCAGAGCAAGCGACTTGAGCCTGCATGCGCACGTTTAAGTCGGGCCTGCCCCTCTACAGAAAGAAGATTCAGAAATAGTAAGAAATATTTCCGGGACGATTTTTTGATTACTGTTTGACTATGTTTGAGCATTCGTTTGGTATCTCTAATTTTCGCCCAAAATCCGCTTGTAGGGGGACGGGCCCGACCTAAGAGCACGTGAAAGATGCCGGAAGTAGCCGTATGCCCGCTTGGAATACAATGGGGGCCCCGCACAGGCTTCGCAGTTCGTGCGAGGCCTCAACTCGGAAAGCCACCCGCGCTCATCGAACGAGCGTCTGTCCAGCCCTCTCTGTTTATTTTGTTCTGTCTCTCTCTCTCTTTCTCTCTCTCTCTCTCTCTCTCTATATATATGTATCGATCCTAGAAGCATCGCGCGCGCTTCGCGCGCGCTCAAGGTCTAGCTAGGCTGGATGGTCGTACTCTTGGTGGTCTCTATTCCATGACACTTCTTCTCTGGGGCTTCCGAGAACCACGAAGACGGCTCAAAAGGCTTCCAAGACCTCCAACGGTCCACCCGCGACGGCTCAAACTAAGCCCAAGAGTCACTTCGGGGGCCCTTCTGTTCGCCGCGGCTGGACGTAGCCAGAGGAAGAGGGAGGAGAAAGGGAAGCGAAGGATTTCCCTAGAGGATAAGGAGAAGAGGGATGAGGAGTTGGAAAGCTTGGAGCAGGCTGCAAAGGAGGAGGAATCGGAGGAGGAGGAGGACGAGGAGGAAGTAAGATTATTTTTTTTGGCAAGCGAAGCGAAACTGCCAGGCGAACCAAACAAACATATATGTCGGAACCATCGGGGCCTCTCTCGGAGCTGTTTGGGGCCTATTTGGGACTTTCTGGGGACCTCTTGAAACCTCCTGGGCGTCTCCTGGGGCGAAGGTCTCGGGCTGTCGGTTCACGTTCCCGATCCTCGGCCGACGCTGGGGCCCTTTCGGGCCGTCTTGGACGTATTGTCAGCGTTTTGAAACCCATTGGGCCGTCTTGGGGCGCTTTTGAAGCCTATTGGGCCGTATTGGGGCGATCCTCGGAGCGTCTTGGGGCGCTTTGCAACGTCGGGAAGCGAGCGGAAGAGGCGGAAACAAACAAATGGTCCAAGAACCGATGGACCATACATGTTTTTGTCCAGTAGGGCCCCCCTGCTGAACACCAGATCAAGACAAACAGCTTGCCTCGAGAAGCTCGGCACGGGGGCGGCACAAGGCACTGTGCCTCGGGCTTGCAGGCCGGCCCCGAGGAGGCAAGCACCGGGAAGTCCCCTCGGCACTTCAAAAGAAGTTTAAAAAGAAAGACGTGTAAAAAAAAGACAGCGCACTGCGTGGCGGAAAGGCAGGCCACGGGTGCACTCGAGCGGTATACATCGCGGAACCCCGCAGAGCACTCCAATGTCTAGTGCGGCCCCGCTGCTCAACATCTTTTCCGCGCAGGCAGCTTGTCTCGAGAAACGCGGCGTGGGGGCGGCGCAGGGCACGATGCCGGGGGCTTGCGGGCTGGCCTCGAGGAGGCAAGCACCGAGCAGGCCCCTCGACACCTCAAAAGGAAGGATGCCCAAATCAATCCTGAAACACAGGTTGGGTTCTCTCACGTAGGGCACTCGCGAGCACGACGGCGAGATCACGGCATGAGTGTCTTGGGTATGGCCCTGCTACTTTTGCGCGTGGCGCACGTCGCGTCGGCTGAGGGCCACTTAACTCGATATGCGGTTGCCCTGAGAACGAACGGTCTCCGCGGCCGCTGCGGATCCGACAAGATAGATGCTGGATAGATTGGCTGTAAATTGTACTGGAAAGGTTGTGGGTCCGCTTCCTCCAACGAATGCTATAACTGCACAACTCCACACTAGCTTGTGAGACGTTACGAGCGGATCGACGGCGCACGGCTGGAATATGCCACATCATGCTGCTATGTGGATTCTTTCGGAACCAGTGAATTACCCGTGCGTTTCCCGTGCACTTAGAATTTTGATGATACAGAGAAAAGCCTTGAGGGGGCGGCTGCCACGCTCAAGGGCGGCATGGTCTTTCTCAGTGAAGTCACGCCTGTCGTCGACTCCCACGGGGTGTTGGTCGAAGTTATGATGGAAACCGTGCGCATGCGAGCAATTGGAAAAACTTGCGCGCTCAGTCGCAATCGCCTCCCCCAGGAACAGCCCGGCCCCGGCGCCCTCAAATGCGCGGCGTTGACCTGAAAAGCTTGCCAGGTCAAGACGTGCATCGTGTCCGATGTACCACAGACGCGCAGCATGCCCGCGGCGAGAAATGGCCTCGCCGATCCCACCATCACAACATTACAAAACAGCGAAATAAGGGCGGTCTACATCGCCACGAACGGCTCGGCGGCCGCGCGGTCGAAAAAGAGCGCCTCCACCTGCCCGTCGGCCCGTTTGAATGCCGCCGCTTGCCGAGGTAGAAGGCGAGTCGCCGGCGCGTTCAATCTGGCAGCGCCCTCGCGCCGCTCGAGGGTGCACCCGCCCCGCCAACCTCCATTCCTCTTCAGCGCGAAGTGGTCGCGGCGGCGGCGCTGGAGGTCCAGCGAGGCCTGCGAATGGCGGCGCTGGTGCAGCTCAAGTTTTCCGAGCTGGAGCCCCCCCCGAGTTCTGTTGCGCCCCGTCTCCAGCTCGTGGAAGCTGAGCGGACGAGGCGCGACTGCGGAGACCCCGGCTGCGTCGGACCCTGGCGCTGGATTGTCAAGGGCCCCCCATGTTTGTGGGACTTCACAGTGGCCCATATGATGTGCAGCCCCGTCTTCGAAAATAGCACGGCCGCAAAGGCCCCACGCTGTCGCTGACCAGACCACGCGTAGAACTGGGTCATTGGAGCGAGAACCACAACGGCGTCTCTATTTTTTCAGGCAGCGCCAGGCCCGGGGGAGGCGAGACCCCTTAGCTTCCCATGCTGAGGTTGGAAGTACAGCAGGCCAGACATCAGGACACCCCCCCTGCTCGAGTTGCGCCCTGCTTCGTCGAGCCCGTTCGTGCACAGCACCAGTGCATCGTCCACCTCTCTGTCCGCGACGAGCTGGTGTTCTCCTGCGGCCTTCGCGAAGCCTGCTGCTCCACCTGGCACTTGGTCTCTGCGCCCTGCCTGACCTATGTGCGCTCCAGCAGCGACTGGCCAGCCAGCGTGGCAGACGCTCGTGCTCTGGCAACTGTCGCCGACCGATGTCTGGCCGCCGTCTGGCGTGGCTGGCGAGTCCGTCTGGATTCGATCTCCTCCTCGGGCCCCGTCGCGGCGTCGTTCTCGCCCTCGCTGTCGCCTGCTCCGCCCCCCGTCGCTCCGAGGTCGCCGAGGCTATCCCTCGTCTCGGGCGGGGTCTGTCTGAGCGGTGCGCCTGCCCCCATCCGCGGGGGCCGAGCGCCCGCTGCCGCCGCGCTGGAGGCGTCGCCAGCTCCTCCAGGCTGGCGGGCTGCGCCTGCGGCGCGGGCGAGAGCCCCCGCGAACGCTTCGCAGGCCGCTCGGGCGAGCCCGGCACGGGCGGTCTGCCTCGGCCATGCCTTGGCGCCAACAGCCGGCGGCCCCGCGCGGCGCTCATCGCGGGGGCCCGCTGCCGGGCGGCTGGGATGCCCAAACGGGGCCTCCCTGGGAGCCAGCGTGGGCGACTCGGTGGAAACGTGCCCAAGAGGGGGGCACCCGCGCTTGACGACCCTGGGAGGCTCGAGGCTGTTGTCGGGCTCCAGGGTCGAGGTCTCCGAGGTCCCAGCAAGGGGGGGCTATGCTGCTTGCTGTTGAGGTTGTCGGGGTTACACTGCTGCTGCAGCTGCTGCTTGCTGTGGCGTCGCTGCCCGTGTGCATGTAGCTCTAGATGCTGATGTTGTCCGTGCCATGTTCGAGATTGCGGTGTTGGCCCGGCTCCGTTACCACCTGCTTGCGATAGCTCTTGCCGTTAAGCTCTGCGTTGCTTTGCTGCGTCGCAACATGAGGTGGTCTATGATTCGCGCTTTTGTCATCGTGGCCCTCCATATGTCCGCAATGCTACACCAAGGCCTTCTTCGGGTCGTACTTCGGGGCCATGCAGGCCAGAGCCTTCGCCTCTAAGGTTGAGCTCGCTGGGGGGGCCCATCTCATGTGCAGGCGCTTGTTCAGGGCAAGGCAAAAGGCGGCAGCCCGGCGCGCGCAGGAAAGGACACAACGCAAGCCTCTTCTCCTCTCGAAGCACAGTACTGCGAGCAAATTGCCGCTCATGGCCACGACGCGCTCACCATCCCGCGGCGACCCGCTCGCCCGAATCTCGACTGCGCTCAGGAAAGCCCAGAGCCTATGCACAACAGTGCCTTCCGCTGCGTTGCCCCGCCCACGGGCGACCAACTCAGCCCAGCTGGATCCCGAGAAGATCTCCGCCGCCATCTCCTTGAATGACTTGTCAAAGCCCCCTTCCATCTGTGGCGCGATCTCATCGCGCTTCTCAAGCTCCGATGCTGACTCGCCATCGCGATCCCGTTCGTCGCAAAGACACGGGCTCGGGGCGAGTGACCGCCCAGGCGCTGGAACCTGGATCGCTCCTGCACGCGACCGATCTTCTCCACTGCCTGCTGCGCGAAGAAGGGGGCGATCGCTGCGTGGCCGTGCTCCGACGCGCCAAGGAGGCAGACCAACGGGCGGCGCGGCAAGGCCCAGTCGCCCGCGCAGCAGCGGCATTAGCCCTCTGATGGCGCCAGCTCTGCGCGCACGGTGGGCCACGAGGCCGCTCCCTGGCGGATGTTGGAAACGATCAGCCTGCATGTAGCAAAGGAGGCTGGCGGTGCATCTCGGCTGCACATGGCGCAGTAGGTGCAGTGTCAAAGCAAGACCTCCCGAACCCAGCCCGGCGAGGCCCTGCAGCTGAGCCCCAAGGGAGGCCCATGGCAAACCCGCCAGTAGCGTTTGGGCGTCAGCCTCGTGACCGTCGCCGCGCCGTCCAGCGCGCAGCCCAGCGTCTCGCCGCGGCCCTCTGCTGAATCTCCGTCTCGCGCGCGCGATGGCCCGCGGCGCCGAGTCGCCGAGGGGCCGCGCCCAGGCCAGCGGCGACCTCCGCCTGGTCGAAGCCAAGCACGCCGAGTGTTTTCCGCGTGGGCGCACTGGGCGCCAGCTCCGCTGGGCGAGGAAGCCGTCGGCCGCAGCGCGGCAGTGGGTCCTCGGCCGCCCACGCGAGGCACCTTTCTCAAAGCGAGGGTCGCCTCCGTCGGCCCCCCCCCCCCCCCCCTCCTCCTCCTGACAGAGGAGAGCGGCAAGGCGAGGCCCATCGGCGGCGCGGCGCAGGCAGGCGCCAGGCGGCGTTCCAGCGGCATGAGGTGGCCGTCGAGCGCGAGGCCTGTCATGCCCACCTCATGCGCCTCCACGGTCCGCGGGCAGAAGGAGGCCGAAAGCTCCCAGTCGATCCTGGATCGATGGAACGCGTCGCAAATGTCCGAAGCACCCAGCGCGAAGCCCGACCTGGCCACGGCGCGGTCGAAGGCGTCGGGGGGGCCCACCTCGATGCGAGCCAGGTCCTCGGCGGTCACCTACAACACTCCTCTCGGTGATGTAAAATGCAGGTTGCGCCTCCTCGCGTCCATGATGCGACGAAGCTGGGCGCTCTTCTTGACCGCGAAGAAGATGTCCACCTCCTCGCGGCGCTCGGCCCCGTCAAGGCGGGCCAGCACCCCCTTGGAGAAAAGGGGCTTTGACAGGCGGACGCGCAGTCTGCGGCCCCGGGCAAGCGAGGGACCCCAATGGGGAACGACGACGCACGCATCCAACCAATGGCGCGCGGCGCATGCTCTCCTTATCCGGAAGGATCCGAGAATAATCGTCTTCGAGAAACTGGCGCGCGCGTGCAGGCGCGATCTCTGCCGGCCGCGGCCCTCCCACCGCAGTCTCAGGTAAAGAAATCCCCCCCCGCGTTGCGACGTTGTCCGACGCCCCGCCCGGCCGACTCACCATAGACGCTGCGGCCGCGCAGCAGCTCTGAGAAAGATGCCCGCGGGGAGGGGATCGCGGTGGCGGCGGCATTCTCTCGGCCATGCAGCCCGGGATCCGCGCGCGCGCTCTCGTCATATCAAAATTTGGCGAAATGCCGCTGGCCTCGCGGTTAGCCAACCAATTCAAGGCGCCCACGACCTCGCTTGAATCGCGGCGGGCCCGCCCGGCGACCCGCGTGGCCCCGCGGCCGCCGAAGCCTAAAGGTCACCCAGCCGCGGACGGGGGGAACAACGACGGCAATCCCACCCCGACTTCACGCTTGGACTGAGCGCTACCTGCGGGTCGCGCACCTCCGTCGGCGGAGGGGGTCGCCCCACCTCGGGCGAAGTGAGCTCGCCGCCGCGCCCGCCGCCCCCGCGTCCAGCCGCTCCCCCCGCGTCGCCTCGCCCGCTGGCGCAACCGCTGGCGCCGCGCTCGCCGCCGCGCCCGCGGCCGCGGCCATCGGCCCCGACAGCGCCGCCAGCTTCGGGCAGGCCCTCGCCCGCCTCTATAGCGCCAGCGGGCTCGGCGCGTGCACGCCTGCCGCGCAGCCCTTCATAGCGGCGCGCGCGAGGGGGGGCGCGCGGGGGGGGGGCTTCTTAGAAGGGGGCTGCTTCTTAGAAGGCCCACGCCTTCTTAGAAGCAGGGGCGCTTCTAGGAAGCCCCCCCCCGGCCCCCCTCCGCGCGCGGCTGATCTTCCAGCTCTCCTGCTCCATCTCCTCCTAGTTGCGGCTGAACACCGCAGTGCGCGGGGCGGGGTCGATCGCGCCCGTCGGGCCTGTCACGCCCGCGTAGCGACGCAAACCGCCCCGCTCCGGAAGCTTTGTCGGGTCGCCCGAGCAGGCCTCCGCGATCTGCGAAACCCTGCGACGCGGCAACTCTACGCGCGCCGCGCTAACAAGGCCGCTCAGGTCATGGCCCCCCGCGCAGTGGATCACGGACAGCAGGCGCTTCGCCCCGACGCAGGTGCGATCCGGCAACGGGCCCGCGCCTCGAGCCACAGCAATGGGTCGCCGCCGCTCCGCCCCCACATCTCGGCGATGTCTTCCACCGTCGAGAGCCCGCCCTCGAGCGGACAGTCCTTGCGCGCGCGCCGCGTCACTTCGCGAGCGATCTCTCGCCGCGGCTTGCGCCGCTCTCCTCGCCCGTCACGCTGCGCCCGCAACGCCCGCGCATCCTCGCCAGCGCCGGGATCCTGGGGGCCCTCCGGCGGCGGCGCTCCGAGCCCACCCCTCAGGCCCCTCTCGCCGGCCCCAAGTCGGAAGACCCGGCAGCGGCCAGCGGCGCAGCCGCCGCGCCGCCCAGCCCCGCGCCCAAGGGCCGCCTCTCACCCAGGTCGGCATCCAACGGATTGACGAGCTCCCGCGGGCGATGGCCCCTGAAGGAGCCCACCAGCCCGACGCGCGCGGCTCCACCAACTGCCGCACGGAGCCGTCTCACAACATCGCGCGGGCCTCGTCCAACAGCGCGCTGCTAGGCTCCATCGCGGCCTCCTGGCCGACGGGCGCGCGCCCGGGCGAGTTCGCCACTCAGACGCAGCCGTCGGGCGGCTCCAGCGAGGCGGAGGCGGCGGGGGCCGGGGGTCGAAAAGGCCCTGGCGCGCCCTCCAGCGGCGCGGCGCCAGACGGGGCGGCCTTGCCACCCACCGCGGCCTCGGCGACCCGCAGCGGCAGGCGGCGACGGAGCTCGGCGGAAGGGCGCGACGTCCCGCCCCAGCCGAAGATCTCCACAAGATCGGCGAACGCCCCGCCGGCAGCGCGGAGCGACTGGTCACTCCGCGACGTCACCACCAAGCCGCGGAACCGCTGCAAGGCAACAGGCTCCGAGCACCTGTAGAAGGAGCCGCGGGTGACAGCGGGAGCCGTCCCATCTCGAGCGCAGGCGAAGGCCTGGCTGCACCCATCGCCGATGGAGCCGCTCACATCCTCGGGGTACCTGTCCAGGTCGGGCGTGAGGACCCACTAGCACGCCCCTCCCGCGGGGTACAGCAAAAGCCACTCGTGTATCGCCGTATCCCGCGGATACCAGAATCCAGAGCCAATACCTGGCCGTAGCTCAGTGCACAACTCTTCCACCGCGGCGCCTGTGCCGTCCGATATCAGCACCGTCGAAACCGGTCGCCGACGCCGCAGTGGACCCAGCATGGCAGGGGACACGGGCGGCGGTACAGCAGCCCACCAGGATCACCAGCTCTCCAGCCGCGAGCCCCCACGCCAGCAGAGCAATCGCAGGCCGCTCTGTCCCCAAGGCTGGGCCGGCCTCGGGCGGCGGCGCCGCCGACGGAGGCGCCGCAGGGCCAGCAAGCGGCAGCCGCTCCAGCACCGCTGCCGCGACCGCCTCCGCCCAAGGGGTGGTGGCGGGCGCCAGGGAGGCGTTGGCCGCACCACCGCCGCTGCCACAGCCCCCGCGCCAAGAGCCGGCGGCGGCGGGGGCGGGGCGGCGCTGCGGGGAGCCCTGGTAGGGCGTGGCACACGCATGACGGCCAGCTCGTCGACGCGGCGACCACCGCAGCCAACCAGCTCGCCGCCAAACGCACGCCCGCCCAGGGCGCCGGGGCCCCCACCGCGGCACCCACCGCCAGCGTGGTGGCACCGCCCGGGGCTATGGCCGGGCCCAAACTCATGCACTTGAGCGGTAGTCATCGCGGAACCCCAAAACAACTCCGCGCAGAGCACTCCGATGGCCTCTTCGAGCCCTGTTGGGAAACCTCTTGGAAACCTCTCGGGTATCTTAGGGGCCAGTTGGAACGTCTGGAGGCCGTCTTGGGCCATCTAGTCGCCTTCGGCTCATCCCGCCACCGTGCCTGGGTTGTGGGTTAGAGTCCTCTGGAAAGTTCGTTTGGAATTCGTGGGAGGCCTTCTGGGGGCCTCTTGAAGGCAGTTTTGGAAGCCTCTTGGGAGGCGTTTGGTGCGTTTGGTGTGCTCTTAGGGCCTCTTTTTGGGCCTCTTTGGGGCCTCGTGGGGCCCATGTAAGGGGGCCTCTAGGGGACCTCTTGGGCTCTCTTGGGGGCCTCTTGGGGCCTCCTGGGGGCCTGTCGGGGCGGAAGTCTCGAAGTGTCGGTTCGTGTTCCCCCTCTCGGGCCCCTCTTGGGGCCGTCTTGAGGCCCTCTTGGGCGATCTTGGGCACCTCTTAGGCCGTCTTGGGGCCCTCTTGGGCCGTCTTGGGACTCGCTTGCGCCGTCGTGGCGCCCTCTTTGGGGTGCTTCCTGGGCCGTCTTGGGCTGATGTCCAGAGCCTCGTGGGCTGTCTTGGACCGTCGGACGCACGAAAACGCGAGAGCACGAAACACCTTCACAAACCTTGAAATACATACATATACACGCAGTCCGCCTCCTGAGGGCCTCGTGGGAGTCCTTTTGGGGGCATGTTGGCCGTCTTGAGGCCCTCTTGTCGGCGGTGGACAAACCTCCTTTCAGTAGATCTCCCCTTAGTGAAAACGGCCTGGGACCGAAACCGACGGACCTGGACCCGCAAAAATGATGGCCGCGACGCCCTCTCGCGAACCGAAAACGGCCAATTCCTTAATCGAGTTAGGAGGTCTGTCCATCCCCGATCTTGGGCTGTCTTCAAGCCATGCTGGACCAAGGCTGAAACGCTCCTGTGCGGACGTGGGCTCTCTCTGTGGGCGCGCGTGGGCCATCGCGACGGCCCCTCGGACGACCCTCGGGCCCTGTCGTCGCCCCCCTTCCCCTCCACTGACGCCTTCTGGCGCCCCCCGACAGGTCCAAACTGGCCGGATACGAAATCAGTGCACTTTGGCCCCCCCTGGACCCCCTCCACATGAATTATCAGTACTAGTACGATCATCATCACCATCATCAGCATCATCATCATCATCATCATCATCACCCCTCATGCCCCCTCCTCCCCCCTCCCTCCCTCGTCCTCCTCGTCCTTCCTCCCCCCCCCTCCCCCAGGCCGTCATCCTGCCCCTCCCCCCCGCCCGTGGGGAGACGGTCCTTCTGCATGTCGGCCACGACGTGCAATATCTTGTCCTCGGCAGGGCCAAAGAAAAGCTCCAGCCAGGCACCCGCCCGCCCGCCGCCGCTGCCGCCGCCGCCGCCGCTGTCTACGCCACACGCTGCCGCTGTCGCCCCCGCCGCCGCTGCCGTGGGCGCCGCCACCATTCGGTGATCGAGGCTTTGTTCGTACTCCAGATTTCGTAATAAAGGGGAGGGGGTCTGGACCCTCCAAGACAAGCCATTTCAGACCTCCCCCGTGGGAGAACCCTCCAAAACATCGTCCCCAGACCCCCCCAGGCCCTCCAAGATAGCCTGGAAGAGACCCCCCCCCCGAAATGAGACCCCCCTCCCTTTATTACGACATCTGGAGTACCCACGTTCATGCCCAACTCCGACGAGGCGCCACTCGGTGACGCCGTGGGGTCCGCCACAGTGCCCCTTGGCGCGCTGAGGCGTGGTAGGATACAACTTGCTGCCCAGCAGGAGATCAATATTCCACTGTGGGCCCTTTCCCTCCACCCGCATCCGGCGGCGTGCTTTCCCCCTACTCCCGAGGCCACAGTCATTCGTAACAAACGATGGGTCCGCGCTCCGGAAGCCACGATCCCCCCTGCAAACAAGTGTCCGCGACCCTAGCTCCCAAGGCGACCCATGCAAGCAACCAAGAAAACCAAGATTGACCAAACTTCATCGAAGATGGTCCAAGCTGAACCCACCAAGACGGCCGAATATGGCCTGAAGACGGCCCGGGATGCCCCTATGAGGGCCCAAATGGGTCACAAGAGGACTTCCAACAGGATCCAGAGAAGCCAAATCCATGTCCTTAGAATTTTTGAACGCTTTGTTGAGAGAGTTTCGCATTCTCGCCCGATCGAGCGCTCCGTCAGCACAAGGCGGCCCACGAAACCTCCACGATGGCCCTAAGACGCCGCAGGAAGCCTCCAAGAGGGCCCCAAATGGCCAAGGAGGACCCTACGACGCCCCAAACGGCATCCAAGACGGCCCCTAGACGGCATCCAAGGCGGCCCCAAGAGGGCGTCCGGCGGGACCCAAAACGACCTGACAAAGCTCAACGGCCCAAGACTCGCATCGGGTCTTCCCACCGAGTAGCCAATATGCCCAGTAGGTCGCCCACTACTGTGATGCGTACCTCAAGCGTGCGCTTCTGCACGACGAGCCGAATCCACCCGGCGCGAGTTAAAAGTGGGCGCGGCAATGACGCTATGTTCACTTGCCCCCTCCCTCCCCCAGACCCTAGAGGAAAGAGAACTATGCACATGCACCGATTCTGGCCAGACCCATCCTGAGCCCATGATCGGTGCATACGCCCTCCTGCCTTGGCCAGGAAGGCATATGCACCGATCCTGGGTCAAGGATGGGCCTTGCCTGGATCAGTGCATGTGCATAGTTCTCTTCGCCCGAGACCCCCCCCCATCGACCCCGCCTCCCCCGCCGCCCTGCCACGGGGACTGCAGCCACGCCGTCGCCGCACAGAGCGCGGCGGACCCGAGGACGTGCCATGCCTCGAGCGCACCGGCCACCCCCGCCCGCGCAGTGCCCGCGCGCCGAGGCTCCCTCGCGCACGCACGCAGCCGCGGGCCGAACGGGCCACGGGGGCCCCTCCGATGCCAGCGGGCCACGGGCCAGGGGGCCAAAGCCAGGCCCGCCTGGCACGCTGGCAGCCGAACTCGCCCCCCCGCGGCGGGGCCGCGAGAAACGCCCCCGGGCCGCAGAGACGGCGGCGCGCGCGCAGGCCCGGCGGGCCACCCACTGCGGGACCCACTGCGGGCAATAGTTATATCCACATCCAGTGCGTCTTGGATTCTTGGGCTCCCTTCCCCAGAAACCGTAGACGCACTGGATATGGATAAAAATCTGGCCCGTAGAGGCTTGATTTTATCCATGTCCAGTGCGCCTCGGCTTTGCGGCACCTCTTCCCAAAGAGTCCACGACGCTCTGGATATGGATATAAGTATTGCCCGCACTCACAGGTGTGCCATCCGCTGGGGGAGAATGCCCAAGCGATCCCATCGTCTTCGATGGCGCTGCCCGGGCCCCCAAGACTGGAAGACATACCGGACGCGGCGGGCGCTCCAGCAGACCCAGAGGCCACACAAGAAGTGGTGGTCACGCCGATGCAAAAAATAAGGGTCACTCAAAACAGGATGGTCACATCGACGAAAATGAGCGGCCACATTGACACAAAACGGTGGCGACGAACGGTGCACCACATCAACATGCAACAATAATGACTACCGCGACCATCGTGGTCACAGCAGTCGCGCCCGCCCTCGCCCGCGCACTCTCCCTTCGGGAAATTGGGAACAACGGCGTGCCCTCTCTGCATTCAATTCGACTCCCGTGTCCCCAATGGTACAAGTCTCACCAGCCCTGTGGGCGTAGGTGGTTTGACGAGTTTTGCCTTCTCTGGGCCAGTATCACTTCTTCCCCTGCTCGAGAGCAGGGTTTACCCCTCCTCCTACCCCATCCGACAACCGAGGTGTTACACGTGACGGCATCAAACACCTTACTCCCAGAACCCGTCTTACGTGGAACGTCTGGCCGAAAACCACAGACATCACATGTCACACGTTAGGACCTCTGTGCCCCCTCGCGCACAGACTACCGAGACAGCTGGGCTGGCACGGTGGCCAGACTTGCCTCAAGCAACTGGATAATGCTATTCCGCTCCCCCCGTCACGCGGCAATGCAGGGAGCGGACAGCATATCATTCCAATATTACTCGCCACTTGGCAACGATTTTGGAACAGCCAATCTGATTCCACTACAGTCGCCATGGAGTAAAGACGTTGGACCAAACAACAAATTATCAAATTTGCACGCGTCACGTAACAACGGCGGGGGGCGAGAAACGAAAGCATTCCAAAATTATTCGCCAAGTCGCGAAGCCATGCGGGTGAAGGTAAATACTAGTCCACTCTACTCGTCACGCGGCAACGCCTGGGGGCCGACACATCGTATTCTTGTTTCGGTATGCACGTCGCGCGCAGCGCCTGGCACGCAACAAAACAAATGCTATGTCTACTCTACTCTATAAACTCCCCCAAAACAACTGAACAAAGGCTCCATACAACGATCAAGTCCACTCTACTCGCCACGCTCCACGCGGCAACGCCTGGACGGCGAATCAACATCCATTTCGCTGAACTCGTCGCGTGGCAACGTCGCGGGTTGGGAAACATCCCATTCCACGGTGCTCGCCACGTGGGAATGCCCTGCGGGCGGAACCCGAGAATATTCCACTCTCCTCACAGCGTGGCAGCGCCTGGAGGGCGGGACAGCAAGTACGCTCCCACTCGGGGGGCAAGTACCGTGCCACGCTTGCTCGCCACGCGGCAGCGCAGTCGGGGCGAGACAGCCACGGCTCCACGTGGCTCGCCACGTGGCACCGCCTCGGGGCCGAAACGAGGGCTGCCCCACTCGATTCGCAATGCGGTACCGCCGGGAGGCGGCCGAGCATATGATTCCGCTCCAGGTCGCGCCGTGGCAACGCATTGGGGGAGACACCAAACACATACTGTTGCACCCTAGTCGCCGCGTTGTGCCGCCTGGGGTGCGACATGATACAACGCATCCCGCTCGCGTCATACTGTTATGCTCGACTCGTGGCAACGCAAAATGACGGAAACCGATACTGCTCAACTCTACTCGTCACGAGGCAACGCATTGGGGTCCGAACACGTTCACAACTCCGCTCGACTCGCCACTCGCCGCGTGGCAACGCCTGGAGGTCGAACAACGCAATACTTCACCTTGCTCGTATTCTTGCAACGTCGCGGGGCGGGGAACGGACTGTTCCACTGTGCTCGCCACGTGGCAATGTCTGGCGGGCAGAGGTACTCTTCCACTCTACACTGGTCGTTTCGTGTCAACGCCTGGGAAAGGGGGGCGAAACAGAATACGACTCCACTCTACTCGCCACAAGCAACGCCTCAGGGGTGAAACAACAACTATTCCACTCTAGTGTAGGATCAAGAATTAAAAAACCTCCTTTGGGCGAAGAATAATAAATGTTCTGGCGCTGGGAAATCGCCGACGACCCGCGCGACCGTCAAGGACGAATAATAGCGTCCGTACGCTTTCGGATCAAAAATGACTTGAAATGATAAACGAGCGACGGATTCAGATGACAGACGACTTCTTGTGAACGAGAATTTGAGACGAGAAACAATTCTGAACACGAACAACGCGGGTACAAACAACGTGAGACGTGAGTGTAAACAACATAAGCCGAAACCACGTAAACGTAAGTAACATCACTCTGAACAATGCGGGCATACGTGCACGTGACGATTGTGAGAAAAAGATAACAACTACCCGTATCCAATCTAAAACGGCACGGCCGCACACCCAGCACACCAGGAACAAATAATAGAATTAGCAGTTTGCAATCTGAAACGGCACGGTTGCGCACCGAACACACCAGAAGAAAAGGAAAACAAATAAGAATTTACATTATGAAACAATATGGCCGCGCAACACAAGAGAAGACAAATATAAGAATTAGCAAATTGCAATCTGTAAGGGCGCGGCCGCGCATGCCATGCACCAAAAAAAAGGGGAGAGGGAGGGAGGGGGGAGGGAGGGAGGGGGGAGGACGAAAGGGAGGGTCCTCCACTCCTCCCCCAATTGTATGGAAACACGCAACGATGGCACAAGGCCACCAACACACGCGAAAAGCCGAAGGCGGCGACGACGACGACGACGACGACGACGACCACGACGACGACGACGACGACGACGACGACGGCGGCGGCGGCGGCGGCGGCGGCGACGGTGACGGCGACGGCGACGACGACGACGATGGACAGGCCGCTGGGCGGACCAGGGCGGCCGCGGAGAGACAAACAGGCGGACACAGGCGGCCGCGGAGAGGCCGATGGGCCCCGCCTCCCACGACGCCGACGCCGACGCAGGCGACGACGACGACGACGACCCAGGCGGTCCCGACACCTTCCCCAGAGCCAGCTTTTCATCCTGGATGCGTTTCTGCCGGTCCCAGGGCCCGATGACAGCCTCCAGAGGCCGAAATCGAAGAAACCTCCGAAGATCGAGGGTCGACGAAAAACCTTCGAAAAACCGAAGGCGACGACGACGACGACGACGACGACGACGACGACGACGACGACGACGGCGGCGGCGGCGGCGGCGGCGAAGAATAATAAAATACTCCCTGCCGGGGGCGCTATCCCCCCCCCCGGGAGAAGTCAGGGGGGGGGGGGGAGGCCCCGCTTTATAATTCCGGACCTTACATTACGCGTCACGTGGCAATGCCGGGTGGGGTAGGGGAGCAATGAACAAATACAATTCAACTCATACTCGACACGAGGCAACGGTGTGGGGGTGACCACTCAACTCGCTACATGGCAACGCCTTGGAGCAGAAAACAAGGTGTGTCATTGTACTGGCCATATGTCAGTGCACCAAGACGGAAAAACTTTGAATTGTGTGGCCGTCGACAGGCAGGCCTTCGGGAGGGTCCCGGTCATAGGTAACAAACCCCCGAGCGCAAACGACGACCAATACGACGACGACTACGACGACGGCAGCGACGATCACGACGACAACGATGACTGCAAACAGTGCGCACTGAGGATCAATAGTGAGGGCGGACTCCTCCTCGTCCTCCTTCTTCTGGTCCTCGCCTTCCTCGTGAATGCCAACATAATGACCATCATCGTCGTAAGCATTGCCGTCGTCATCGCACTTGTCGTCATCATCGACGGCGTTCCTCTTCTCCATCATCGTTGTCGTCGGCATCATCGCCATCGCCAGCCAGCATGACTGGAAGAGAAGAGGAGGCGAATATATAAAGAAGGGAGGTGAGGAGAGAGAGCCCCCCTGTTTCTCCTCCTTCTCCTCGACTAACTGTCCTGAGTTCGACAGTCAGCGCTTTCAGTGTTTCCCTGGTTCGCCTTGCTTCATGATCCTGGGTTTGTGCGTTCTCGGTTTCCTTGGGTCGCCCTTTTTTCGGCGGCGAGCGAGGGGGGAAGTGCAGTGAGAAGGGAAGGCCTTCTCAGAAGGCGGCGGGACTTCTCAAAGGGCCCTCGCGCCTTCTGAGAAGTCTCTGTCTCCGGGGAAGGCTCACACAACATCTCAGAAGACTGAAGGACTTCCGAGCCTTCTGAGAAGGCCGGCCCCTCTCACTTCCCCTCCGGGGCTGGTCGCCTCTCTTCGTTTGGCACGCCACGGCTGCAGGCAGCGCGCCAAGGGCCCGCCGCAGTCGTTTCCCCCCGCGGCCCCGAGGCGCACCGGCGGAGCCCCATCGGCTACACGCAAGAGTGACCAGTGACCTCTGGTGCGCGGCTTTTTGGGGGCCGCGGGGGGGGTCCAACACAAGCGCGCAAGACGCTACCTTCGCACCGCGTTCGGCGATCGGGGGGCCATATTGGGCCCGCACCAAAAGGTCACTCCGGCGAAAGGTCACTCTTGCATCTAGTCGACCCCAGAGCTCAACCCACACCCCTGACGGCGGCCGGCGCGAGGCGACGGGACGGCGAACGACCGCGACCGAATGACCGGCGCCGACCGGCGGACGACGAAGGACGACCACGACGAACGAGGATGGACGGCGGAGAACGAGCGACGGACGCCACAGGATCGCCGACGGCGACCGACGAGCGACGCCGACGCCCGCCGACGCGACTGCGACGACGACGAAAAAGTAACGAGTGCCGAACGACTGCGACTGACGCAAGCCGTGCGGCGCCCGCGTCCGCGAACTTCGAGGCCCGGTCGGTGTTCAAGCCCATGTCCTTGGCCACATCGTTCACCGCGACCTTTCGGGACGGCTGTCGGTCGGCATCGCCGTCGTGGTCGTCGCGGTCGTGGCCGTCGCCGTCGCCTGCGACGACGTTATCGTCGTCGCTGATTGCCGATCGTCATGCGACGGCCGCTGTTCGTCGTCCTTCGGTCGTTTTTCGTCGTCCGTCGATGGCCCGTCTGCGTCATCGGTCGTCCTCGGTCGTCGTCATCTGACCGTCCGCCCGTCGTCGTGGTCGTCCGTCGGCGTCGTCTATGGTCGTCCGACCGTCCGCGGTTGCCCCTTGGCCAGGCTGCGCTCGGAAGTGGCGTCCAGGGCCAACGGGGATCGTAGGAGGGGGAGCAGGCGAAGATCGAACATCTTGAATCGAATCCACACCTGTACATACACTTCTTGGCGTCGCGGCCCCGCGCGCGGCGACACGGCGTAGAACGTCGAGCGCAGGCAGTGGGTGGCGCGCGTCTACGTCCTACTGAGCTCTGGGAGACCGCGTAAGGTCTCGCAGCCAGCAGCAGCCATGACCATCCGGGCCTGGCTGGGGGGGAGGAGCGATGAATGGACGACGCTACGGCGAGGGAAGAAGGTGACATAAGCCAACCAAGACTGGAAGGTGGGGGGGTCGAGTGAGCCAGTACATGTATCGGGTAAACGTCAGACTCGGGTTCGGGGGACTCGGGTTGGCCTGACGGGCCCACCATGAAAATAATGAAGCGTCAGCAAATCCGAGCTCCGGCATACTCGAATCTTACGTTTTCCCTAACGTACTCTGACATACGTTTGTTTCGATAACCAACTGGGGTCCCCCAAAGGCATCGTACCTCTGGAGTCTGGGGGCTTCTGGGGCCCTCCCCAGGGATCGCTTAGGAGGGGGACAATAAATGGGGGGGGAGAAAGGTGCATTTTTCAGGCCCTGAAGGCCCCCGCTTTGGCCGCAAAGGACCCCTTGAGCGGCCCAAAATGGCTCAGTGTCTGCAGACCTTGCTGCCCACCCATCTATCGCCCTCCCCCTAAAGCGAAGCCCGACCTCCAAGATGACCCAGAGACTTCCGGGGGCCCAGGAGGACATCCACGGCACACCAACATGGATCATACCCGGGCCTCTCTGACATTCCCTGGCACGCATATATTTTGCGAGCGAGCACTCCTGGCCAGACCGCGGCGACGGCGACGGTGAGGGCGGCGGCGACGACGACGCAGGCGGCGACAACGACGGCGATGGCGACGGCGGCGACGTCGGCGACGACGACGGCACTGGCGAGGGCGCCGACGACGACGAGAGCGGCGGCGGCGAGGACAATGGCGACGGCGACGGCGGCGACGGCGGCGATGGCGATGGCGATGTCAGTTCTGGCTCAAGCCATCTCCCTCCCTTACAGAGGGGTCAGGGCTCGAGCGGCACAGCGCCTGCATTCAGGTATCGCCCACAATCCCGACCAGGGCCACAGCTGGGTCGTGGGCGAGTAACGCACCTTCCTCTTCTGAAAGATGGGAGGCCGTGGCGAGGGCAAGGACAAGGGCAAAGGGAAGGGCAAGGCAAAAGGTTCTGACCCAGACCGACGTCGCCCGCCCCCGCCAAAGCAGGTGGCAGCGGCATGCGCATGGACATGCTTGGTATGTGCAGCGAGTGTGAATTCGAAGCATTCTTGGTGCTGGCAATGCGGATCTCATTGGGAATCGCAAGACGACCAACGGCCAGTACCGCCGAGCGAGAAAGATAAGGCTACATCAGATACGGCAGCAGCTTCGTCACAGCAGAAAGTTGGCACACATATCATTCGATTGCAACAGTCCTTGGACATGCTGAAATTTATGGAATCCAAATAAGAATCGGCTGAAGACAAGATACATTGCGAGGAAGCCATTGCCTCTCAAGAAGTGGTCCTGAAGCGCCTACGTGATGAGCGAGATGCGGAGAAGACGGAGAGCCAGCTCACCATGGCAGCGTTGAGCAGGTTGCAAAAGGCGCAAGGCCAACTAGAGAAGCAAACGCAGTACGTGATCCCAGGAGCAAGCGCTGGCGGATTTGGAAGCGAAGCAGGCGCTGCTCAGGGCGGACCTCGAAGTCGCTCGCATCCACAAGACGGAGTTGGAACTATGCGTATTCAATCTTATGAGGGCGCCCATGACCGACCCCTATTCAGCCCCTCCTGGCTTGGATCGTTTCGAACATGAAGAGCACCAAGAGCAGCTGGGAGAAGCTTCTCAAGTCATGAGGAAAGGCAAAGGCATGGGCGAGATGGACGCCAACACATATCTACATGCGTCAGTATCTCCTACCTCAGCTGTTGGAAGGCTTGCACGCGCAGGTGGGCACTTTTGCCGCCCAGATTCGCACTGCGGGAGGTTTGGTAGAAGAACGTCAGGCGGTGCGAGTGGACAAACTTGAACAAGAAGCTGACGCCAGACAAGAACACTCTGCAGCGGGAGATTCAGCGATGCCACCAGCCCCATTGGCTGAGAGAAGGGCCGCAGACCAGGCCCCAGTGGAGGAGACAGCGGCCAGACGCAGGCTCGCAGAAACGGGGGGGGGGGGGCGTCTCGGGCGCGGCTCGGCCAGTTCAGTCGGGCGGGTAACACCCAGTCCAAGGCGTCGAACGGCGGGTTGCAGACCCTTACGATCAACGGCAAGTGTTGGTCCACTGCGGTTTCGCTGAAAAAAGAGTGTGTGGCTCACATAATACTTGTTCAAGAACATGAACTTCATGGTCAAGGCCCCCTCGAGACTAAAGAAAGTGCGCGCAAGCTTGGATGACAGAGCGTCTGGGCACCATGCTGCATCGCGCAGCGCTGGGGACGTTCGGCTGGAGTGCGCATCTTCGCCAGAGCTCATCTTGACCCATGGCAACAACCAGGTCGGGAAGGGCCTCTGGTGGAACATAGACTTCTACAGGTCTTCTTTCGCTCGAAGGCGATGGGGGCTGTGTCCATAGATTGCGGACATTGGAAGGGCGGAGAAGGCTTCGGTCAAGCCAATGTTCACAGTGCAAGCGTCTGTGTTGTTCTAACACCAGCCTTAAGAAGGCTGGCCACAATTCAATTAGATCGCCCGCACAAACTACACGTTTGTGAAGTGGTCGAGATTGGTCTTCCACTAGTTTTCTGTATTCGTTGCGGGGCCTACACGTCGGGCCTCCCTCGTAAGTTAGGGGGCCCCTGCGACACGATTGATGTGCAGCAGGGACGCCAGATACTATCTGGCAAACTCCCCTGGCCTAAAGGCTAGCATGTCACGAATGCCTGGCCCCTCAATCATGAGTGCCCCAAAAGGGGTGACTGGTGGGACCTGCTGTACAAACTTACTTTTTTGTTAGCAGCCCGTTCGGACCTGAAATAGATGGGTGAAGAGAGAGCCACTGGAAAAGGCGATGGCGATGGAGGTGGTAGCCGTGGCGAGTGCGGCGACGGCGACGACCACGGCGCTGGCGGCAACAGCGACGGCGGCGACGACAACGGCGACGGCGACGTCACACCCTTGTCTTCTGCTCGGTCTACTGGAATGATGCGCACTCGGCAGAAGCGAAGAGCGCTGGACACAAACGCAATGCTGCAGCGCACGCTTGCTTACGGCATGGGTGTCTGGAACCTCCTCGCTCAATAAGAATGAACGCTGGAGCGACACCCCGTTTGGTTGTTCCAGTGTGGTAGCATTGCACTCGCGCCTCGTCCTCAAAGCGGCTACGGACATAGAAAGGAACGCAGCCAGATAAATACACATGCGCCGTCAATGTCACCGACCCTCTAGACGGAGGTAGTCTGGAACGCTTCCTCTTCCTACCCCCCTCTTCCCCTTCCAGTAGGGGTTTGCCCTCCAAAGTGCCCTCCCCCATGGGTCTGGACGGAGGGGGGGTGCGGCAAGGCCGCAGGGCGCCCAAGATGGCTCCAAGATGGCCTAACGTAGCCCAAGATGACCTCCAAGATGGAATCCAAGATGGTGCAGAATAAGTGCAGAATCAGATAACCTCCAAGATGGCTCCAAGGTGGCTTCGAGCATGCTTCAAAAGGCCGCAAGACCGCTCCGAGAGGCCTTCGAGAGGCCGCGAGACCTCCGAAGGACGCCCCCGAGAGGCCCAACACCTTCCAAAACCTAGGGGAACAATGGTGTGTGCTGCGTAGCTCTTCCGAGGAGCTTCCGAGGCTCCAAGATTGCTCAAAAATGGCAACAGAGAACCCCAAGGAAGGCCCGCGAAGGGCCCAAAGACGGCCGCAAGAGCACCTCAAGAAGCAAGTTTCCAGCTCTAGGGGGGCGAGGCTAATCCCACCTTCCCTCTTGGCGTGAGTGGCTTTAGCGGGCTTCCTCCTGCAACCCCCTACTTCCCCTTCGGTGAGGGATTCCCCATCCTCCTCCTCCCACCTCCCCACCTCCTCCCCCCCTGGACCTTGGGGGGAGGAGGGGGCGGCGATGCATTGGGCGCCCAAGATTGCCCACGATGGCTTCAAGGAGACTTCCGAGAGCCTAAAATGACGTCCAAGATTGGATAGTCAATATTGCTCAGGAAGGCTTCTCACATGCTCCAAGAGACTCCAATACAATACTCCTCCAAGACGCGTGCAAGTGGGCTTCGGGCCTCCACAAGGCGCACCCAAAATGACAAAATCCTTCAACTACCCTGGGGAACGTAAGAATTTAGCCCTCTCGCTTCTGAGGGCTTTCCGACACATCAAGATGGCTCCAAGAGGGCCCAGGATGGCCCCAAGGTGTCCCCAAGACGACCCCAAGAGCGCCCCAAGAGCTGCCCGGGAGGACCGCAAGAGGCGACTTCTGGGGCTCCAGAGGGACGACGCTGATTGTGCACCCCTTGTCTGTGACCAGCAAAAATATTGAACCACATTGGGGGGGGTGAAGGATGTTGGCTTCTCGGGGGCATCTTTGAGAGGCCTTTACCCTAAGAGGGCTCCAAGAGGACCCCAGAGCAGAGGCTTTAAGATGGCCTCAAAGATGACCTCCAAGATGGCCTCCAATAAGGCCCAAACTGGCTCAAGATGACCTCCAAGAGGCCCCATGATGGACCAAAGATGGCTCCAAATGGCCGCGGAGACCTCCGAGAAGGCCTCCAAGGGGCCCAAATCCTTTTCAAAGCCTAACAGAAATCAACGAGTGTGGCCTTCTCGCCCGTTCGCTTCCGATGGCCTCCCGAGGCCTCAAGATGGCTGCCAGAGGGCCGAAGATGGCCCAAAGAAAGGCCCAAGATAGTCCACAGACGACCCCAAGAGCGCCCCAAGAGCGTTTCGAGAGGGCCCCAACAGGAGACTTTGGAAGCTCCAGCGGGGCGAGGCTAATGAAGGCCCCCCCTGTTTGATCGATTTCCTCCAAGATGTTCCCAAGAAGACCTCCAAGGTCCCAAAGAGGGCCCCAAGATGGCCCCAGGAGGCGCCCAGGGCGCCAAGAGGCACCCAAAACGCCCCACGAAGCCCCCCCCAGGGACCCAAGAGACCCGGCCCGAAGAGGCCCCCCGGACAGCCAAGAGACCCCCAAGCCGCCCCAAGAGGCCTCCAATAAGCCTCTGGCGCTTCTGCTCGCCCTCCTCCTCCTCCTCCTCCTACTCCGCCTATTCCTCCTCATTCTCGCTCCTGCCTCCTCCATCCTCCCCTTCTTGGGGTCATTATGTTGGCTTCCCCAGCCCCGCGAGATCGCCCAAAGAGGGCCCCAAGAGGGGCCCAGACGATGCCCAACACGGCCCAACGAAGGTCCCAAGAAGCAAGGTGCCACAAAGGGGCGGGACTTATTGAGAACCCCCACTGATCTTGATCGATGTCTCCCTGCTCTGGGGGCAGCAGGGGGAGGAGCAGGAGAGGGGCCAGACGCCAGACGGTATCCTTTCCCCACCGCCATCTCCGGAGGCAACCAGAGATCGGGAAAGGAGCGAGATGTGGAGGATGAGAGGACCTGGAGCTGAACCTGGCTACATAACAAGGTGAAGATGGAGGACGAGGAGCAGGAGGCAAAGGAAGTGAGAGACGAAGAGGAGGGAGGGAGAAGCAAGAGGAGAGGGAGGAGACCGAGGAGGAGTTGGAGGAGGAGGAAGCGTAGGAGGCGGAGGACAAGGAGGAGGTGGACCAGGAGAAAAGGCCCCCTGCAACCTCTAGCTTAGGCTTGAACTGGGTGTAAGAGGCGTTCAGGGTGGCCATCAGCCGGGTCGCCTCGCGCGACTCCTCGACGGCGCGGGGCCCTCCCGGTCGTCGTCGGCTGATCGACGGCGTCGTCAGTCGTCCATCGTTCGACGTCGTCACTCGACGTTAGTCGTCGTCGAACTCGACGCCAGTCGCTGTCTTCGTGGCAATCCGATTTGCGCGCGATGTTCAGAGCGCGGCTGCCTGTCGACCTCTTCACGTCAGAAATGACAGACTTCCAACGGCTGCAGATTGGTTTCGTCCTAGCCTCGAGCGCTCTCGTCTTCAGAGTTCTCCAGTCACGGGGGTTTAAGGACGGATGCTTTTTCGCGTTTGGGCTCTCGTTGTGAAACTTTCCCAGAAATGATGGCGCGGACGAATGTAAGATTGTGCGCAGGCTTCATGGGGCTGTGCGCTCGTCTCCTCGCTCCTCGCTCCTCGCTCCTCCTCGTCTTCCTCCTCCTTCTCGCTCCTCGCTCCTCGCCCTGCCTCCTCCGCCTCCTCCTCATCATCTTCCTCCCTTCTTACAAATCAAACTGGGCCCTCTTATCCGGTGGGTCCTGGCCAGACTATCGAGGCAGATCCAGCCGCAGCCACGAGGACCCCCCAGGAGGCCCATAAAGGCGTGCAAACGTCCAAGAGCCTCGAGCATCTACCCGCGAGTGAACCCAAGCGAAGGTGTCCAATAACCAAGCCTCGACTGGACCCGAGTGTCTCGATCTTCCAACCTTGACCTGGACCGCTGCCCGATCTGGGCAGCCAGGTGAACCCACGCGAAGGTGTCCGATACTCGAGCCTCGACTGGACCGGCAGGGTCAGAGCTCGCAGAGTGGCCGCAGAACATTGGGGCCGCAAGTGGCCACTCTGGGTTTCCCCCGCTCCTCGAGGAACAACGAACACGTAACAGGAACGCGAACTTTTGAAGGTCCGCGCGGGTTTCTCGGAACAGCGCTGACACCCCCCCTTTCCCTGGGGCGCGGAGCGCGCAAAGGGCGGCGCCCGAGGCGCCGCCAGGGGGCTCCAACGCCGATCCAAGAAATCCGCGCGGACGTCCCTCCTCCGCCTCCTCATCCTTCTCTTCCTCCTCTTCCTCCTCCTCCTCCTCCTCCTCCTCCCCTTTGCTCCTCCTCCTCCTCCTCCTCCTCCTCCTCCCTCCTCCCGGATCCCTCCTCCCTGATCACTCCTCCAACCTCCCTCCTCCTCCTCCTCCTCCTCCTCCTCCTCCTCCTCCTCCTCCTCCTCCTCCTCCTCCTCGTCCTCCAACTCCTCCTCATCCTCCTCCTCCTCTTCCTCCTCCTCCTCCTCCTCGTTCTCTTCCTTTTTCTGTTCCTCTCTCCTCGCTGCTCGTTCCTCGCTCTTCCTTGCGCCTCGCTCGTTTCCTCGTCCCCATCGTTTTCGTCCGCCTCCTCCTCCTCCTCCTCCTCCTCCTCCTCCTCCTCCTCCTCCTCCTCCTCCTCCTCCTCCTCCTCCTCCTCCTCCTCCTCCTCTCCTCCTCATGTTCCCCCTCCTCCTTCTCCTCCTCCTCGTCTTCGTCGTGCTCCTGCTCCTGCTGCTGCTACTGCTCCTCCTCGTTCCTCGCTCCTCGCTGCTCGTTCCTAGTTCCTCGTTCCTCATCCTCCTCCTCCTTGTCCCGCTCCTCTCGTCCAACCCTTCCTCTTCCTCCTTGTCCTTCTGCTCACTCTGCTTCTTCCTCCTCCTCTTCCTCCTCCTCCCCCTCCTCCTCCTCGTTCCTCCTCCTCCTCCTTTTCCTCCTCCTCCTCCTCCTCCTCCTCGTGCTCCTCCTCCTCCTCCTCCTCGCCCTCCTCCCCCTTCTCCCCGGACAACGACGACGACGAAGATGACGAAGACGACAAAGATGGCGATGTCCTGCACGTCATCTCGGTACCTGCCCCGCCCGCGGGGCCCAGGAGGCGAACCGCCCCGCTGCGGGCGCACGCCCACCCGGCGCTGACGCTGCCCTCGCTCTTGGGAGGAAGTGCAACAGGGAGGAGGAGGAGGAGGAGGAGGAACAGGACGAGGAGGAGGAGGACGAGGAGGAGGACGACGAGGAGGAGGAGGAGCAGGAGGAGGAGAAGGATTGCTCACCTTTCATTGGCTCTATACTTCGCTGGACGCCTCGGGTGAGAAAGGCACGACTCTGAACGTGCCTTCGCGCAAGCATTCGAGTGCGGACTTGGCGGGGAACCGGCACCCACTTGGGCATGTACCTCCCGCCAGCACTCATGGAAATAGATGTCATGTCACTAGCGTGGCCAACCGACGTCAGGGCATAGTCCCGATCATGTTCGTAAGCGGTCATTCCTTGCAGAAGAGACACACAGAGAAAGCAGGACGGCAGGGCAGAGACAGGAGAAGACAGCGGAGGGAGAAAGGACGGACAAGGAAATATATTTACCACCAGATCACCCCCGACCGCACAGCATCCGAACCTGCAGAGATAATTTCCCTGACGGAGCCTGCCGCTGGTGGGCCAGGCAGCGCACGCAGTAGAGAGATAGGCGCACCCGGTACACGGTGCAAGCGTACACCTTGCGATTCGCAAATTATCACCACACGATAACCGACAGGCGGGGGATGTGGTCCAGCCACAAAGAACCTCCCGCGCCTCAGGAGATCAGGAGCAGGGCAAGGGTGAGGATGCCTCAGCCGAAGGAATTTGCACGTCTTTCTATGCAGCCCTATCACGTCAGGGCCTTCAAGCATACGAGCGGTCGCTGTTATCTGTCCCCAGCATCGCATCAAGCTGTGCGTGATGGACGGTTTCCACAAGTTAGGGAAAAAGGAGGACGAAAAGGACATCCTTGTCGGAGACTCCATTGAACAGGATGCAACAACGGGCCATGGCATCTCCGAACTTCCTGGAACCCGAGGCGACACGAAACCTGGCAACACGGGCAACAAAAACCAAACCCCGACGCTCAATTGTCACTCAAATATTCCAGGCCCCCCCGCAAAATGGAGCTGGGGGTGGAACGGCGCGGCACGCAGGCAAACCGCTGTAATGCCGTGTGATCATTGGGCATTGCGTGCTTAATCAAATGGTAGGCTTGCCAGACGCGGCAGAGGACCAAACACGCCGCGACCGCGACGTTTGTGGGTGAGCGAATGATGAAGCGAACATATGTGAGAGGCACGATCAAACAGCTTAGCGCACGGAGCGCCCGAGCTCTCGCCGCATCCGCCTGGGCCCGAAAGCACGCCGAGACATTTCCCACATGTGAGGCACTTGAATTCTCGAACAGTCGGCCCCGCGGTCCACAAGACACGCGCGGCTCCCGCAGCAGCCCGAAGTCCACGAATCATGAACTTGTCGAGGTGCAGACGACCTCCGGCGAGGACGGCCCTCGACGCTATCCACGCGACAATGAAGGGGGAAGAAAGGCACCCAGCGTCATCGGCAAGCGCGCGTAGCAGGGTCAATCGCAAAGGCGAAGATCAGACCTGCAAGAAGACTACACTGCTTCTTACCCCTTCGAATGGCCTTCCCTGGAAGCTTGATTACACAAAACAAGAGACCAATATCGATATCGAAATACAGATGCACAAACGCCTGCACGCCTGCACGATGATACCAGAGATCCCTGCCCCCTCGAGCACCCGGAAGATCCGCGCGTGGGCAAGCGAGGGTAGCGCTGCGGCAATGTCCAAGGAGGGGGCTCCAGCATTGGGGCGCCCACGCCAGAACGCACCACTCCAGGGCCCAAGATTTCGGGCCGACGATGGCGCCGGGACTATTTCGCCCACGGATGAATCCCCTGAACAGACCTCAGAGCCCCATGCTGAGCTTGCAGCGTGAAGAGAACGCCCGGCACGACCAGGAACTCGCATTGTCGGCGCTGCTCACGGTAAGTGACCTTGCCCTAGTCTGCCTACTCTCAGAAATGACCTCCCCGTCGCCGTTGGCATCTTTCTTTAGCGAAATTGGGGCATTGTCACGGTTGAAGCCGGCAGGCGGTTTCTGGTAACAAAGGGGCCCCACGGCCGCGACGCAGAATCTGATGGGCACGATGACTGGCAAACTCCCAGGCGCAGTTCCGCGCAAACTTGGGAATCCATGACGCCGCGCACGGTTGCCTGGTCACGCGATTGCCCCCGTGGCCGGCGAGGTTCACGGCGGACCGTTCAGCGAATTTCCAACCGCGGCAACTAAGGTCGCAAACAACTAACTTGACACCCCCCCGCGTTTGGGCGCCGCCGGGCCCGTCGAGTTCGCCGCCCCCGGGCAGGGGGCAAGCATGTCGACGAGATTGCAAGCGCTCCCCCCCCCTCTCTCGCCGCGACAAACCCCCCCCGCCCCCGAGAGAAGCTGGCGCGCAAATCGCCGGGCAAATCATCGGGCGCACCGCCGGGCGAGTCGTCGGGCATATCGCCCAGCAAGGCGACGGGCGCGCCGCCCAGCTGGTCGACGAGCATGAGATCTGGTCCACAGCGCCGCCCCCCTCCACGTGCTCACCAGAGTTGCTCGGGCGCAACGAGGACCCTCGCGGTCGCGGCTCTGGAGCGGCACCGAGACCCGTAGCCCGTGGAATTTGTCATACTTGACGCGCGCCATTTGCTCCAAGTCGCAGCGCTCGCCCAAAATTGGCATCGCGCGCGCGCTGCGCCAGGCCATTCCCGCGGCCGCCGACAGCCGCGCGCGTGAACTTCAGGGGAACGGCAATCGCTCGCGAAAAGTTACGCGGCCCGGACTTGAAAGACCGACATGTGGGAATCCCTGCCACTGCATACGCAGCAGTCTTGACATCATATATGGCCTGGCGGGGGCGAGGGGCCACGTCGAACTGGATCCAACATTTGGCCGAGTGAGACCAGCAAGTCAGGGCGTCGGGCAAGTCGCCGTGGAACACGTGGCGCGCGCGAAGCGTTGTAGGCTATCTGCGCCAACTTGGGGGCCTGATCCACCCGTTTACTCCAGCGCGCGCGTGCCAGCCCTGGACTTCACCAGCCGGCGCACTTACGCGCAGACGGTCGAGCCGAGCGAGGAATTGAAGCTGAAGGGCGTCATCGACGACCCGCGCTGCGCGATGCGCCGCGCCAATCTGCTGACCCCGACTCGCTGCTTGAAGAGAACGGCGAACCGATCGAGCAATGCAGAGCCATCTTCCGTCGTCGGCCCTCCCATCCACAGAGCGAAGAGACACCCTGCCCCCGCAAGTTCTAGTCGCCGCAAACGACGCAGAGGGCGCGACGATGACGAGAAAGAGACCGTGCTGAATGATGCAATAAAAGTCTGGCTCCAGGACGCCCGGAGCCGGGCTCGAGATGGATGCCCCCGCAAAACTAGGCCCCGCCAGGGCCGCTCAGGTGCCAAACAACACGCCGCCCCTCTCTGATGACATCAACGCGGATATCGTAGAAGGATCGGAGGCAAGACCCGGCAACGCGAATTGCAGCCCCCTTCTGCACGGCGATCAGAAAAACGTAATCGGCATGGACAAATCTGAGATACTCTTGGGCGCTGAACTCGGCCATGGAACGGCGAGCTCAACGCGAGAGAACAGCCGCACACTGCGCGCGAACAAAAAAATAAGGAAGCGCGCGCGCCCCCCGCACTGACGGGCGCGATCGCCCCACGCACTTCCAAAGGGAGCAGCCGAATTCCAGCTGGCAAAAGCTATACTGACCCGTGGCGCGCGACGGCTGGAGCAGCACTCGGGACTCAGAGGACCAAGATAAGTGCTTTATCTCGCAGTGGATGCCGGGCACAGGCCCGACGCCTTCACTCTCAGAGGGCCCAGCACAAGAAAAAACCGTCGGACCCGCCGGGCGAGGCGAACCCGGGGCCGTAGGAGGTGGATGTAGAACCTCCAGAATGAGGGCGCAAGCACAATGCCGCGAAATGCTCCTGGCACTCCAACGCAGCATGTGATCAAAAGAGGTAGATGCCAACCGCGCTTGGAATGCAACTTGCTCTCGATCGGCTGGCGACCTGCATCGGGAGGCCACTGCTCCTTGCGTCCCCGAGCGCGGTAACTGCGAGAGCCTCGCGCCCGCAGCCCATCTCATCGCGGGGAGCAAGCCCCACGGGGTCATCTATCTGTTGGCTGTCACTGCACACTGGATGCAAGCACCCGGTGTGAGGGTCGGCGCCCAGCGAGAAAGACTCCGCCCAGGCCTGGTTGTGGAGCAACGCAGCACGCGTAGACTCCAAACAGTGGCCCAAGGCGCATGATCTGCGGCGGATGCGCAGCGGCTGGTCGAACCCGGGTCGCAACTGAACGTCATTCCCTGACTTCGGGCCACGCCGCAGAAGTTTGAGACTAGGTCCAATGTCCTTGCCCCAGGCGAAACACGCACGAGCGGCACCCTCGTGCCCGAACTTGATATTGTGGCACGCTTGAAGCTCTAACGCTGGGCGCGAGCTCCAAGTAGAAGCTCGGGAACAGCAGCGCGCAGATGTTCAAACTGCGCATGGAACACCCCCCGCAGCTTCTCCAGCAAGAAACCTATACCTTGCACCTGTCGCCCACGTCACCATTCGCACCACGCGGGCTCAGCGGTTCTGCAAGGGCGGCACCAGGAACAATTTCTCAGCCACGACTCTTCTTGGTCGTTGGCTTCCCGACAAAAGGGCTCCACGGATGCAAAATGATGAGGGGGTACCCGAGGAGGCGAGGTTAGACTTGATCGCGTTCTCCATGGCGATCAACTTGGCGTCCAATAGGGGCTGGACATGGTCGACCACCATCCAACGGTGGAGTCGAAGTGCCGGGCGCAGGTGTGCCGCCCATATCCCTGCCTGGCCCATATCCCCTTGCATACTGTTTGTGCTAGCTTTGAGTTCGGTCAACTGGTCCTCGAACTTCTCGTCCAAGGCTTTGACTTGCCCGATGACACCCCTCCAATTGGTCTTCAGCGGCTGCAATTGGGTGCCGACGGCCCATGACGGCCAGATCCTCAGGCGAGTGCAGTGTCTGCCCAGGCACAGCACGTGGAATGACCCCTTCGGGAGAGGCTGCCCGCTCAAGCACGCCCCAGCGTCTTGAGCCAAAATCGCAGGAGCACGCGGAAAGGACGAGGAGGAGGAGGAGGAGCAGGAGCAGGAGGAGGAACAAGAGGGAGGAGGACAACGAGGAGGAGGAAGAAGCGGGGACGACCAGGAGAGATGAGGAGGAGGAGAAGGAGGAGGAGGAGACACGAGGAAGAAGAGAACGAGGAAGAAAAGGAGGAGGAGGAGGAGCGGGAGGACGAGCAAGGAGGAGGAGCGAGGAGGAGGAAGAGGAGGAGAAAGAGGGGGACGGGGAGGAGGCACGAGGAAGAAGAGGAGACACGAGGAAGAGGAGGAGGAGGAGGAGGCACGAGGAGGAGGATGACGAGGAGGAGGAACAGGAGGAGGACGAGGAGGAGCAGGAGAAGCAGAAGCAGGAGGAGGAGGGGAGGAGGGGGAGGAGGAGGAAAAGGAGCAAAGGGCCCAACTATCTGACGCTCCGGAAAAATTGGAGCGGCAAATGTTTGGCCGTTTTCGGCTGCAGGGGCCCTTGCTGGGCCTCGGGACCGTCAAACAACGACTCGGGAAACAACACTTGCCCCAGGCAAGTGATCCAGACCTCCGAGGCCCACGCATTGAAACAAGAAAAAAGCGGCCAGATGTCTGGAAAGGAGGCGTAGGAGGAGCGAGGAGGAGGAGGAGGAGGAGGAGGAGGAGGAGGAGGAGGAGGGGGAGGAGGAGGGGAGGAGGAGGAGGAGGAGAGGAGGAGGAGGAGGAGGAGGAGGAGGAGGAGGAGGAGGAGGAGGAGGAGGGGAGGATGGGGGAGGAGGAGGAGGGGGGAGGAGGAGGAGGAAGAGGATGAGGACGACGACGACGAATGATCAATCATACACGGGAACCCAAACCTCGAACTACGCACCCCGACAGGCAAAGCCGTTTAGCGAACGCCCCCAAAAGAAGGAATATCGAACAAGGCAGGGCTGCCTAGTAAGCGCGCGGGGCCCTTCCGCAAACGCGGAAGAGGGCGTCATGGAGACTTCGCCAGGGAGGGCCAGCACATGTGCAGGAACTCCGCGTGAACCTTCGACAGCTGATGCTTCTGCAGTGGCTCGTTTCTCGAGGAGGGGGGTAGGGAGACATGGGGAGCAGGGAGGAGGAGGAGGAGGAGGAGGAGGAGGAGGAGGAGGAGGAGGGACTTACACCTATCCATTCCCTCCTCACGTGCACTCCTCCTCCTCCTCCTCCTCCTCCTCTGCGCTTTGCGTTCCTACGCGATGCGTCCCGTGAGCATGAGGCGCCCGCACACTCGGAGACCCGAGAGGAAACAACATCAGACCTTACAGAGCAGTTTTTAATACATAGGATGTTGGAAAGATTGGATTTTCAACACATGCTTAATTTAGGAATGAATGTATGTATGAATTCATCGTTGTTTTTAATAAGAAATCCATGCGTTTTTTTAATACATGATCCGCACGCGGAGCATGTATGAAAAACGGCACTGCAGCGGCACGGGCACGACCGCCTCTGCCCTTTTGGCGGACGGGTCCCCGCCCGCCTTCAGGAGCCTCAACGCCCTCACCTTCCACTCAGAGATGGCACGTCCTGCGCACGGCTTGGCAAGTTTTTTGACTCTGCTCCGAGAGGCTCCGAGAGCGGACTCCGCGTCTGCCGCAACGAGACACTGGGCCGTTGGCCCACAGGCGGTGGGAAGGACGGGCCTTAGCGTGAGCCAAAGGGGCCCCAGGGCCCCAGGGCACGGCAGCTGCACCAGCCGACAGCGGCTGGATCGTCCTTTGCCCACCGGCCCCACATCCCCACCCTACCTGGAACTTGCGGAACTCTGTGGCCCTGCTCATCCGAAATGACCTCTAACAGGGGGGGCCTCCGAATTGACGCTAACTCTCTCCCTGCGGCCATGTCCCTGGCTGATCAGGATGGAAGCGGATTCGGACTCGAACGCGGTGGTGCATCGGGTGTCTCCTCCGCCTCCTCCTCCTCCTCCTCCTCCTCCTCCTCCTCCTCCTCCTCCTCCTCCTCCTGCGACCAATAAGAAAGTTGGTCGCTCGCCCTACGAGCCAAGCCCCCCGAGCACCGCCGCGAATGCGAAGATGGAGTACGGAACCGCGACGATCTGGTAGCGCTCCTCCTCCTCCTCCTCCTCCTCCTCCTCCTCCTCCTCCTCCTGCTCATCCTCCTCATCCTCCTCGTCATCCGTGCTCCATCCCCTCTGTACCCCCTGCTGACCCTCCTTTTCCCTCCGCCCCCTCCTTGCCCTCCCCGTCCCCCTAGTTCCCAATTCCTCACGGCTGGACCCGGTCATGAAGACGCCGGCCGTTGACTTCTGGCACCGCGTGCTACGTGAAAATCGGGATCCCTCGCGGCGTTCTGACAAGGAAGATCGGACGATGTCGGGCAACTCTAGGCACCGGCGGCGTTCCACAGCGCCCGCGCTGGGGGTCGCCAGAACCAGTGCTGGGCCGCCTGAGACCCCCCAACTGGCTCCAGCTCAGATCCCGCCTGGGAGGCCTGTATCCTAGGCGGGGCGTCTGGCGGGCGCGGGCGCTGGGGTCCGAGCAGGTGGAGTCGCAGTATCGCGCCGCATCGGCGGTGCATCGGCGCTGTCGGCGATGCATCGGCGACGTCGGCGTGGAGAAAATGTCGGGAATGGACAGACCTCCCTTTAGTAAAACGTGGTTTAGTGAAAACGACCTGAGGCCAAAACTTGGCGGGCGCCAGTCTGGAAAATGACGGCCGCGGCGCCCTCTCGAGAACCGAAAACGGACAATTCACTGATCGACGTGTCACTGTTGGGGGTTGTGTCCCCCCCCGAAAATGGGGCCCCACATCGAGCCGCACCGCCGATGCGTCGACGATGCAGCGCGATCCCGAGACCTCACCTGCGCGGGAGGCCGAGAGATCCCAGGCGAGGCGCGTGGCGGGCGCGGGCACCCTCGATCTGGGCCGCGAACACGCAGGACACCGAGGGCACCCTCGGCTTGGGTCGCGAAACGCAGGACACAAGGGCACCACTGATGTGTCGGGTCGGGCGGAAGGGGGGGATTAGGAGACCACATGCGAACCCTACCCCTACCCCCCACGATTTCTGAGGGGGAGGGTGGGGTTCACTTCGTTCGTGAGCTCTCGAGCGAAGTGAACCCCACCCTCCCCCTCAGAAATCGTGGGGGGTAGGGGTAGGGTTCGCATGTGGCCCCCGAGGGATAGCAAAGGGGGGGTTTGAGAATCAGCTCACGTAGCTGATTTCCCCAGCGCCTCCCGGCGCCGGAGGCGGCTACGTATCGAGGGATGGGCCCCTCGGTGAGGCCGAAACCAGCTGCATGCAGCAAATTTCGTAACCCCCCCTTTCCCAATCCCCTCCTTTCGCCCGGCCCGAATGTGGGCCGCGAGACACAAGACACCAAGGGGCACCCTTGACTTGGAAGGGCCCACCCACGCCCACCAAAGTCAAGGTCGACCTGCAGCCCTCGCACTCCGCCAGCAGGCGCCCAAGAAACTCCCCAGAGGCCCGAGGAGGCCCCCGAGAGGCCCCCAGAGGGCCCCCGAGAGGCCCCACAAAAGGCACCGCAGACTTCACCCCTCTTCTGGGGGCCGGCGGATGGCGCAGGCCTCTCGAATCGAACTCGACCTGCAACTCTCGCACTCCTCCCTGAGAGCCCCTGCCTCCTGGGCGGGGGGTTCATGGCGGGCGCGGGCCTCGCTGTCGGTCGGATGTCCATTCCCCGTGCATCTGTCCGGTTTCGCGCGTGCTTCTCTGGTCCGATGGTCCAGGATGTTCCTCGGAGGTCCCCGCCGAGGATCAACGAAGGAGAACAAAAACACATGAACATAAACCCTTGGCGCTCCGCACGGATTTTTTGGATTCGCGCTGGACCCCCCTTCCCTGGCGCGCGGAGCGCGCCAGGGGCAGCGAGCCCCGGCGCGGATCCAAGAAATCCGCGCGGAGCGCTAAAAGTTTATGTTTGTGTTTTTTTCTCTTCTTCGAGAGGAAGAGGATGCACACGTCCGGCGTCGCGCGTGCTTCTCTGGCCCGATGGTCCAGGATGCTCCTCGAAGGTCCCTTCTCCTCCTCCTCCTCCCTCCTCCTCTCCCTCCTTTTCCTCCTCCTCCTCGTCCTCCTTCTGCTCCAAGAGGATGCACACGTCCGAGCGGTGCCCAGGGGCACTGGGACCAGAGCTCCATCTGCACCTGCGCCAGCTTCGAGGCGGCGTGGTGCTCCTGCGCGCTTCGGCGGGGGGGAAGGCGGGAGCCGCGGGGAGCCTCCGGAGAGGCGCTCGGTGTCAGAGGTTGGACGCGGATCGAGACTCGAGGGTAGAGGAAGAGGAGGAGGACGAGGATGAGGATGAGGAGGAGGAGGAGGAAGAGGAGGAGGAGGGGGAGGGGGAGGATGGGGAGGGGGAGGGGGAGGAGGAGGAGGGGGAGGGGGAGGATGGGGAGGAGGAGGAGGAGGAGGAGGCGGAGGAGGGCCACGGGGAGCCTCTGGGTTGGACGAGTATCAAGACTCGACGGTAGAGCAAGAGACAACAGCATGAATGATAAACAGCAGAAGTGCAGTCGGACCTCGGCCTGGAGAAAATCCATCAAGAGCATGAGACCCGCCGCTGCCCAATTCGAAGACAGCATCCAAGGGTATACCCTCCCTAAGATACACAAGAGCGTCCAACAAGCACGAAGAACACGGGGGTTACCCTCCCCGAACAAACCTCGATCTCGTACACCAGTCCGACTGCACCCATAATTTCTGAGGGGGAACCTCAGGTAGGATGGCCAACAACATCAGGGACAGGTGGTCTGTTTGCTGGAAGAGTCTCAGGCGAAACCATCCAAATTCTTAGGGATGATCTTAAAAGCCGAGGGCCTGATATCATGGTTAGGGATTGCAATATGCTCAATCAATAAACATAAGCATTCGACGGTCCGCGCGGATTTTTTGTGTCTGCGCCGGGCCCCCCCACCCTGGCGCGCGGAGCTCGCAAGGGGCAGCGCGAACGGGCCTCGCTGGAGGCGCCGCCAGGGGGGGCCCAGCGCGGATCCAAGAAATCCGCGCGGAGCGTCGAAAATTTATGTCGATGTTTTTCTTCTCACCGTGAGCAGGCTCGGGGAGGGTCGGGGACTGAGGGGGGACATCGGGTTCCGGGGATCAGGGAGGGTCGGGGAAGCCCAAAGCTCTCGAGGAGAGGATGGAGATTCCAAGATCGGGGGAGATCGGTCGTCGAATCTTGGGACAGGTCAAGTTGTCCGATCCTGTCGGGCCGAGTCTGTGGACTGTTTCCCTCTTGCCGCCCTGGCCCCCCTCGACACTCCTTCTCCTCCTCCTCCTCCTCCTCCTCCTCCTCCTCCTCCTCCTCTTCCTCCTCCTACTCCTCCTCCTCCTCGAATCTTCGAACAGGTCAAGGTGTCCCACGTGCTCGTGGCGGGAAAGCGACGCGACCGGGCGAGGCCTCAGGGCCTCCAGCCCCCGGCGCGCGGAGCCTGCCAGAGGGCCGAGCGCCGACCCCCCAACGAAAGACGCGCCGTCCTCCGAAGACGTACTCCAGATGTCGTAATAAAAGGGAGGGGGTACCAACCCTCCCAGACGAGAAGTTTTAGACCCCCCCCCCGTGGGAGAACCCTCCAGCACATCGTCCCCAGACCCCCCCAGGCCCTCCAAGATAGCCTGGAGGAGACCCCCCCCGAAATGAGACCCCCCTCCCTTTATTACGAAATCTGGAGTACCCATCGGTGGGAAGAAGCATGTGGAAACATGAAATAGGACGGCGTCGAAGTAGATGGGGTCTCCGCCCACCCCGTGGAGAGGAGGGAGGAAGGGAAGCCTCTCGACCATTGAAGTCGGAAGGCGCTTAAATTAGATTGGAATCTGGGATTCCAACAATACCTACTTTCAACGACCGGTGGGTAATTCAGCTTATGTCGCTTCCATGCTCACCGATCCTGTCGGGCCGAATGTGTGGACATTTTCCCTCTTGCCGCCCTGGCCCCTCTCGATACTCCTCCTCCTCGTCCTCCTCCTCCTCCTTTTCCTCCTTTTCCTCCTCCTCCTCCTCGAAAGAATCCCTCGATGCCAGTCGCACATGTTTATTCAATGTCCTCGCGCGTCTCTGAACTTATCCGAAATGATTCAGGAGGAAAGAAAACACGAGAATGAACAGGAGAAGGACGTGGAGGACCCGGGCGACAACGGGGGGGATCAACAGGGCGAGAACGAAACCGACATATAGGAGGACGCGGTGAGACTGAGGAGGACGCGAGGAACACTGGGGAAGGCCGAAGAGGTCTTTCATGCGTCAGCAATGGGGATGAATGGGCTCACCTGGCGGTGGCAGCAAACGCGCATGACAACAAAGGTTGGTACTATACGAATCGGACAAACCCCGCTGGACGGGAGGACGGCCCTCACGTAAATTCGCGAAGCGCTGGCGCGGCCTGGGGTCCGAGCGGCATGGCAGGCTGCACAGAGGTGATGCGGATACATCACCTCGCACGGTCTAGAAAAGCAGGCGCCTCTTCGCCGGCTGCATGACCATTCCAGGCGGGACTCGGTATCTCATCCTCACGCACACTGTCGGGTCAGGGCTGGGGCCCCTCGGTGCCGGCGGCCTGGCTGCACATGCAACAAGTAGGCTCGCGCGCGCGGCCGCGAGAGGCGGCGAACTGGACCGCATGGGTTGGATGGGCCCGGAGAGGCCGAGGACGATGGGGCCATGCAGCTGTGGCGCGGGCCGCCCAATGCCCTTTGGCGCGTCCTCCCTCATCGCGCCAGCGCCTCCATCCGCGTCGCAGCTCCTCTAGGGGGCAAACGAACCTACCTCGCTTTTGACCAGCCTCGCTTCCAAGAGCTACCAAGCGATGCGAAACTGCGGCGCGCACTGGTCAGGCCACTCGACGGGGAGGCGCGTGGTATGACTTGGTTTTGCCTGGAAGCGAAAGCGGGGTAGGTAGTTCACGCTCTGATCCTCCTCGGGTCTCTCCGCAGCTATGGCGCCCGCGCGGGTTGGCGCCCTACCCTCGCACCGCGGGGTGGCGAGGGCGGCCGCGCGCTGATCCGCCCCCTCGTGGCGAACGGCGTCTTGGCGCCCTCGGGATCGCGGCGCTTCTCCTCGAGCCGCGCGAAGGCCAGCGCGTCCTCGATGTCCGACTTCGAGGCGCGGGCGCCCCCCGGCGGATCGAAGGCGGCCCGGCCGCGCCGCGCCTGGGGCGCCCGCTCGTCGGCGCCGCCCGCGCCGCACTGCAGGGGCGCGTCCGCCTCGGCGAGGACGAGCGAGGCCGAGATTCTTGAGCTGGCGCGTTGGCCTCGGCGGTGGCGTTCGCCGCCGCGCCTGCAGCGCAGCGGCCGGCCGCCGCCCGCGGCCTGCCTCGCGGCCTCGGCCCCCGGCGGGTCCTTGCCCCTCACCTCGGCTGGCGGCGGCCCGTCCTTGCAGCGTCCGCCGCTCGCTCGCGGGGCGCCGCTAGTCTTGGAGGGGGCCGATGGGGGCCCGCAGCCGCCGCGAGGTCATGGCGCGCGGCGCCCGCGCCTTCATCCGCGCATCGCTAACCGTCTTCGCTGTAATCGTCGGGGCCCCCGGACGGGCCGGCGCTCGAGGTCGAGGACGACGCGGCGCTCCGTCCAGGGAGGCGCGGCGCAGTGCAGTGCGATGCGCTCCAGCAATAGCTGACGGACGGCGCCCGGCACCGCGGCGCTGAGCAGCGGCAGGTGCAGCGCGCGGCGGTAATCATAGAAAATGGATGGTGCAATGCGAAGCGCAGAGGGCGCCTGGCCCCTCCAGTCTCCGCGCACGGCCCGGGGCCGCGGGCCGCCGCGGCCGCCGCAGAAGACCCGCCGCGCAGGGCGGGCCCGCGGGCGGCCCGCGCAGCGGGCTTCGTCCAAGATGGACCAGACGGCGACGGCGGGGGCGATGCCGCGGCGCAGCGCCGGGGGTTCTTGGGCGCGGCCGAGCATTGACGCAGGCGACGATGATTGCGATGCAGTCGCATCGGTGGCGAATCTGATCTGGGGCGCATCGCCCCTGTAGCCGCGACCGCCAATGATGTCGGACAGCGTGTTCGACGTTCACGAAAGACGGCGTCGCGCATCGAGCACTTGACGTCAACGGTGATCGTCGCGAAAATTGGGGGCCCGACGCGCCCTGGGGCCTTCGAATGGACCTGATGGATCGCATGCCTGCGCGGGGTAGCGAGCCGTCGCTGACAGCCACCTTACGCACAAGGGAGAATCGCGCCCTCAACGTCGAGGTTGATCGCAATCGAGGTGGACGGAGGGAGGTCGGTGGAGATGGACGAGGCTTCGGGCGGCGCCCACACCTGGGCCGCGAACGTCGTCCGCCAACCCCGCACGTCGCGCAGTCGGAACCGCCGATCATCGCGCGGGCGATGACTGGCGGGCCCCGCAGGGCGCGCTGGTCGGGCACCAACGGGCGGGCAAGCAAAACCGTGAGATCGTCGCCGAACTGGCGGGCACATGGGCGAACATCGGGATGGTCGCTGAGGCGGCCAAGGTCGGCGAGGGGGCCGCGGGTCTCGGACTCGGCCGCCGCGACTTCGCACTTGCGCTGACCGAACATGCCAGCGGGAATATGTGCGATGGTCGGGCTCGTCGGCAATCGCTCGACGCCGTCCGCATCGGCGCGCGGGCCGCTCAACGGCCGCCCAAGAAACGCCCAACTCCTCGAACGCATGCTTTTTCTCAGGGGGCCTGCGCCACCCCCTGGCGCCCGCGACCTCGCCCCCTCTGCGCCCGGGAGACTGGCGCGCGCCATCGCCCGCGGGGCGCGGCCGAGGCCCCGCGCCTCGCCCCCCGGGCGACGTCGCACTCCTGCCCCGACCGCGCCCGCCCCGCCACGCTGAGGATAGATGCCATTCGTCCGCGTCCAAGACGTCCAAGACTGACCTAGGTTGCGCCGCCTGGCGCTGCCAGGCCGCATTCGTTCGGCGGTTGCTTTTGCGCTCGACCCTCGGAGCGCCCGCGCGCGCCCCCCCACGTGGATCGGGCCAACGACGGGGGCGCCAACAATGCGCATCTCTGCCTCTTTGGCGCCCTGGGCTCTTCATGGATGGAGATGCGCATCCTGCTGCCGCGAGCGTCTCGCCCGCCCGCCCCGGCGCAGCTCGGCGCGGGAGATGTCGCCGTCGAGCCCGTCTAGGAAAAGGGCGTTATGGAAGGTCCTTTCGGGCATGATGAACCTCCCGATCACGTCGTCGACGACCCCCCCCCAGCGCGCGCCCTGGGCGGCGCGGGTGATCGGGCGCTGGGGCTCGAACAGGAGGCCCGCGATGTCGGCGGCCGCTCTCTGCCATCGTTCGACATGTGTATAAAAACCCCAACGAACAGCCCAGGGTCGCCGGGGCCCCCGCCCTCCCCCCCCCCCCCCGGGCAAACGCAAGAGGTCGCGCCCGCCGCGCCCGCGCGGAGCGCGACCCCAGCGCGGCGCAGCTCCAACGCGCGAGTCGCGCGAACGGGCATCTGCCAGGCGGCCGGCGCGTAGAGCGGGCGAGGTGCGGCTGGGCGAACTAGCTGCACCCCGCGCCAGCCTCCAGCTCATCGATGCCGAAGAGCACTACGTGGTACTAGCTCCACCCCGCGCCGGAATTCCTCTGGCTCATCAATGCCGAAGAGCTCTACGAGGTATGCGGTCACATCTTCTTTTCTGGTTGGGCAGGCCAACTAGCTCCACCCCGCGCCGGAATTCCTCTAGCTCATCGACGTCGAAGAGCTCTACGAGGTATTCTCAGGTCCGTAGCTGCGGTACCACTGTCAAAACATGTTTGGGAACCGACTTCGCATGCACCCAAGAAACTACATTATGCAAGTTTTTAAGCTGATATTCGAAGAATCTCTCTGTGCGTGATCTGAGCACTTCTTCGCATGTTGAGAGCTCTACGAGGGTCCCGGCGGTAACCTGGTTGACGGTTTACCGCGAATTGCGCCAAAGGCATTGCGCTTGTCTTGGGAATTGATCACGCATGAAGGCTAATGGCGCCGAAGCTTCCACGAGGCGATTTCTGCGATGGCCGCGAGGGCTTCGCGCAGGCACGCGCGCGCCTCCTTGCGCCCAGCCAGGGGGCGAAGCGTGGAAAACCATGAACTGTTAGGCCAACTCGAGAATGAGATCGCCATGGCGGACCCGAGCATAATGCAAGCTGCGACGCATCGAACGGCCCCCGCGTGGAGCGCCCGCTCTTTCCGGGGGTCTCGACGCCGAGGCTCGCGACCGCCTTCGGCGGAAGTTGCTTCGCGCGCCAGACGTGGACAAGCAGGGTGATCAGAACAGAAGCTCCTCAGCGGATACTTCGTCGAATCAGTCGACCAACTTCCCCCCGTCGGGTCGACGGGTTTTCGCGCGGGCGCCTGTCGAACCGAGTCCTGGAATCTCTGAGGCCCTCTCAATCAGCGCGCAGTTGGCGCCTTCGCGGCCGACGCCTGCCGTCTGGCCCCTGGGCTTGAAAAGTGTCTGCGGGCTGGAGATCGCCGGCGAAAGCTCCGCGGCCCCGGGCCAGGGCGGGCAACGTCGGCGGCGTGTCCGGGGCCGCGCACGTCCAGCAATGCGTCGAATATCGCCGCGGGCCCGGGCGCGATCGCCAGGGGGCGGGCTCGCGCAGCGCGATGGCGACGGGGCGGGCGTCGGAGGGCGGGGTGCCGAATAGGCCCCCCCCCTGCCGCCTCGCTGCCGCGCGCTGACACGAAGCCCCCCGCGCCCCAAACTCCCCCGTTCCTCTCGGAGGGGCGGCTGCCGAGGAAGTGGCGAATGGGCGCGCAGCCGGTCGTGCGCGATATGTGCGCCAGCGTGCGCCCGCGCGCGCGTCTGCTCGCAGTCGCGCGAGTTCTGCTGCGCGAGCTTGTTCTTGGCGGGGCCCAGCCCCCCTGGGTTCCTGTGCGAGTGAGCGCGTCCGCCCCCCCCTTCTTCCACCGCTGGAATTTCTCCAGATGGCGGCGTGCCTCTTGAAGCTCGGCTTGGTCACAATGTGCACTCTGTTTGGCGCAGAAGTGCAAGGCGCCTTGCTCGTTCTGCGGTGATGTAACTTTGCGCTGTGATGCTTAGAGTACTACTTGGCGGTCAAGGAGAAAAGAATGCGACTGACCACCGCGGCGCGCCTCGTTGGGTCATCGTCCGCAATGATCGCATAGAGGAGGAGGCTGGCTTGTGTAGTGCCTCGTGCGCATCTACTAGTAAGACTCGCGGCGTGCACGCCCAATCTGCAGACCTGCTGCAATCAATGCCCAATTCCAAACACAATATCCCAAATCCTGAGTTGATCGTGGGGCGGCAACAACAACAACATCCATGGCCATGAATGTGTGATCAAGTTCGTGTTGCCTGTGTCTACGCCAATACATATGCATGCTCGTGGTGTTGCACAACAGCGGCTGCACTGTTATGGCATTGTCCGCCCGGGAGCGTGCGCCGTTGTTGTCGATGAAGAACGCATCGCCGAGATCATAACAAGGGCTGGGGGCCGCTAGGGCGTGTCCCAGATGGCGGCGGTGTTAGAAGTTCGCCTACGCCAAACCCGGCGGCGGTCTGGAAAAAAAGGGGCCAGTGCTGTTGCCATGGGTGACGCCCCCATCCTGGCGGCCGAAGTTGAGGCTCAGATCTCCGAGGAAGGAGGGGACAACTCGTGACGCCGTGCTGGCGATAGCTTGGGGGGCCCAGTCGAGGAGACGTCGGTATGTGGTGTGCCAATGTCGTATCTGACAGGCCGTCGACGGGCGCGGTGGAAAGTACGTTACTACGAACCTCTTCCAATGACCTCGGGCGGGGGGTATTGATCCGAATGCTGCATTTAGACGGAAGCCTGCGCGAAGGTAATCCGATGGAACATTCCCGCAGAGGCACTATTCATACCCCCCCAAGCCCACGCAACATGTACGAAAGGTGGCGGCGGGTGTTTTTCGTACGTGTGGGGGGGGCCCTGGCCTGCATCGGAGCTTGGCCCCGCACAGGAGGAGCACACCTATGTTCTTGAAAACCCCCGGGATCTCGACGACCGCCTTCCCGCTCCCGACGAGCGCGAACGGGTTCCTGCCCATGTTGCGCAGATCGTTGCGCGCGCGTGCTGTGTGCGTGGAGGTGGAGGGAGGGACGGGTGCACGGTTTCCCCCGGGGCAGTAGGAGACCCGAGGGAGGGGGGGAGGAGGAGGGGGAGGGGGAGGAGGAGGAGGAGGAGGAGGAGGAGGTGGAGGAGGGGCAAGGGGAGAGGAGATGGAGGATGGAGGAGGAGGAGGAGGAGGAGGAGGAGGAGGAGGAGGATGGGGAGGAGGAGGAGGAGGAGGAGGAGGAGGAGGAGGAGGAGGAAAAGGAGGAAGAGGAGGAGGAGGAGGAGGAGGCGAAGGACGGATCGCCTAAGCCCTTCGGAGAGAAACCCTCCAAGGACGGGAGGCGGGATGCAGCCCGCCCCTGCCCCGTGCCGCTGCCCTGCCGCGATCCGCCGCACGCGGCGCCGCGGGCTCGGCGCCCCCCACCCCCTGTGACGGCCTGGCGGGGCGCGGCGGGGAGGTGGGGTGGAGCCGCCTGCGCCGTCGCTGCTTGAGCGTGCAGCGGCGGCGTCCTAAGAGGGCGGCGACGAGGACGAGGAAGCGACGGGAGGGGGAGCAAGGAAACTCCACTGTCGGGTACAGTTTGTGATGCCAGCGCTGATGCTCAAGGGGAGAATGTCTTGGGCGCGGACGCTTCCAAGGCTGGGCCAGGGCCTATGGCCTCCCTTACAAAAAAAGGCGGGAGGAAAGGGAGGAAGAGAAGAGGAGTGAATAGAAGAGTGATGAGGAGAAAGATGAGGAGGATGAGGAGGAAGACGAGGAGGAGTAGGGCGAGGAGGAGAGGGTCTTGGGCAAGCAATAAAAAACTTACGGGCAGCGGGAATACACATGTCCTCCACTCTCCTTTCTCGGTGGAAAGTCTTCTTCTCCAGTCGCACGTCATAGACCATGCAGACGACCATGAGGCCCTGGGCGCGAGGGGCAGCTGGACTGCTGCTCAAACGAGTGCAGCTGCATAGTCCGAATGACAGACGTCGTGGCCACAGCAGCGAACTCAGCAACAAAACGTACGCCCTGTGGGCGCACTTGGCTTAAGTTATTGTATCTCCCCCCTCTCCCTCTCTCTCTCTCTGTCTCTCCTTCTCTCTGTATACCATATACATATATATATATATGGATAAACACATGTGTACATATCCCTCTCCCCTTCCCCTCCCCCTCCCCCTCCCCCTCCTCATCTTCCTCATTATCCTCTGTCTCTTCCTCCTCCTCCTCACCATCATCTTCTCTCAATTCTGCCGGGGCAGCGTTTCATCTACTGCCCAATGTGACTTCGTGCACCTGGTTGCTGTCCCCGCGCCGTACGCATTTGGCTGTTGAATGAGCTTTCCGCAACAACTATTATTCTCCTCCAGGAACAATTGATTAACACTCCCGCTCCATCCTCCCTTCAAGTCTGAACAGGGAGTGCCGCTGGTACGCTTGGCAGTCCCAAGGTGGCTCCCAGCTGGCCTGAACAAACGCATGGTTGCATTCGATCTTGTGCAAACGGAGAGGCCTGCCCACGATGGCATACAGCATGGCTCCATTAGGCGCCAAGACGGCCCAAAGACATAGCCACGGAGCCAATGCAGGATGCCTTCGAGGGGCAAACAAACTTGAAATGTCGGGCGTCTTCCCATATGTTTGCCGCCTCACCTCTTCCACTTCCAATGGGCCTCCGAGGCCTCGAGATGGCCCGAAGGTGACAAGATTGGGCCGCAAGCAGGAGGCCCAATGGCACCCTGGGGGTCCCACAGGCCTCCAAGAAGTCGTCGTCGTCGTCGTCGTCGTTGTCGTCCCCCTCCTCCTCCTCCTCCTCCTCCCCCTCCTCCTCCTCCTCCTCCTCCTCCTCCTCCTCCTCCTCCTCCACGCGGAGGGATTTCTCTGGGCCCCGACGAGACTATATGGTCGAGTGCCTCCAGGAGCCCAAACAGGGCCCGAAAGCTCCCCAGAGTGGCACCACGAGGTCCCCTGAAGGTCCCCCAGGGGGCTCCCGAAAGAGGACCCAAAGGCGCCTCCGCGCGGCTCCAAGACGTCCCCAGAGTGGCATAGTCAGAAAGCTGAGCCACTTCGTTTGACTGGTGTCCCAACCATTCGTTCTACTTCAAATTCTCGCAGCACCCCGGCGTGAACTCATCTCTGGATGGGTTGGTGGGGGTATGGCCGTCGTGCTGCAATAAGGAAACTTGAAATCCGGAACAACTGGACCTTCATGGCTACTCAGGGACTCAGCCACGAAGAAACTCCCCGAGCCAGAGCTAAGGAACGACCCGAAAACCACTGCCATTCCTGAGACAAGCGAAGCATGTATTTCATATTATTGACTGCGCATGCCATGTCGAAACTACGACGCCCTCATGCAGCAATGCAGGTCCTGTTGGAGGACGCAAGCGCAGACGTCTGCGAGCAAGGCATCCCGCCAAGACGGACAGATAAGTCAAACCATCATGACAAACTTGCCACGTTCCATCTGATTTCGCCTAACCAAGGCGCCAACCATGAGAAAAAAACGCTCTGGCCAAAGCACAGGCCTGATTTCTGAATCGGAATCCTTCCCTGTCGCTGTCGCGGACCTTTCCACTCCTTCGTCCTCCAGTCCTCCAGTTCCGCTCCTGCTCCTGCTCCTGCTTCTGCTGTTCCTGCTGTTCCTGCTGCTCCTCCTCCTCCTCCCTCCTCCTGCTCATCATCGTGCTCATCCTCCATCCTCCTTCTCATGAGTCACCTTCTCCTCCTCCTGTTCCTCTTCCTCCTCCTCCTCTTTCTGCGTCACCTGCTCCAATAAACACAGCTCCCTTTTGCTTGCGCATGACGCGATGCGGTCATAAGGGGATACCAGGCCTGCCATGACACCCGTCGGCGGACTTAGAAAAATCAGCCCAATGGGGAAGGGATGGATGGAATGGGCAGAATGCCATACTGCGGCGCGGGCGCACCGAGCTTGTCATCACACACCCTTCCCCTCCCTCCTCCCTTCCTCTTTCGGGAGCGGCCAAGAGGGGTGTGTCCAAGAGGGGGGGGTGCAAATCATGACCGGCGGCATGTGCGCGGCCCAGCGGGGGGGCCATGGACGTAATGAAATAAGAAGAGACCCATGAAATCTGGGGAAATATCATGGACCACGCCATGATATCCACCCCCCCTAGTCATCACCCCCCTCTTTGCCACCCCCGACTCTTTCCTCCTTCCGCCTCCTCTCCATCCTCCTCCTGGGCTCGGGCCAGGGAAGAAGAAGAAGACGGGAGAGGCACCAGCTCGGCGGGGAGGGGCGGCACCATCACCAGGAAGCAGATGAGCAGGCTGCCGACGAGGCTGGACAGGGAGGACTCCTTGATCTGGTACCCGACCTCCTTCTCGCCAGATCCTCCGCGATGGCCGGCGGCTTCCGCAAGGGGCCGCCCGAGCCCCCCGCAGCCTTCCTCCCGCAGCCCGCGGGGAGGACAGCGAGTTGGCCTCCAGCGCCACTCCGAGGGGGGAGGGATGGAAGCTTCGGGAACGGAGGAGGGAGGGAGAAGGGGGAGGACGAGGAGGGGGAGGAGGGAGGACGGGAGGGGCCTGCGCGGCTGTCGAGGAGGAGGAGGAGGAGGAGGCGGAGGAGGAGGAGGAGGAGGAGGAAAAAGGAAAAACATCTGCATGGAGATGAATCGGGCCTTGGCGGGACTCGCTTTAGGCTTTAGCTGGACATGGTTTTAAAGATGCGTGCCGGGGGGCGCCCCCCCCCCGGCTCCGTTCCCTGAACCGGACCTGCCGTCACCCGAAGCAACACCAGCTACGGCAGACTGGTGTACTGAATCTGGGCAATCTGTTGGGCCTGGGCTCCCAATCTGGGCAATCTGTTGGTCCTGGCCGCTGTATCGGGCTGAGCCAGCGGACCCCCGCGCGGAGTTCTTGGATCGGCACTGGGACACCGTCCATGGCGCGCGCCGCGGGCTGAGGGCGGCGATCCAAGAAATCTGCGCGGAACTCAGGAGAAAATGATTTCGCGATTAAGCTTGTATCTTGAATGCCCGCAGAGCCACGAAGTCACCAGCGCAGGCTCGTCTGAACCTGAGGTGGAGTTGGGATGCGCGCTTGCACGACGCCAGGAAAGTCCGCCTCTTCCTTCCCCTCCCTCACTCCTCTCTCCTCCCCCTTCCCCTCCTCCTCCTCCTCTTCCACCTCCTCCTCCTCCTCCTCATCCTCATCCTCCTGTCTCCCTCCTCTGGCTCCTCCTCCTCCTCTCCCTTCCCCCCAACCTCCTCCCCCACTCTCGTCCTCCTCCCCTTCCTCCCTCCCGCCTCCCCTGCCCTTTCTCCCTCCACCACCGCGGCGCGGGGAGGAGCGAACTCCAGCGAGCTCCTCCCTCCTCCAACCTCCCCCTCCCCCGTCCTCGCCGCCGCAGTCTGCGCCGCCGCCGCCACTGGCGTACTCATCGCCGCCGCCGCGGGAGTTGAGCAGGGACTGACCGTCCCGGTATTCCTATAGGCCTACCACTAAATGTTCTTAGAACCCCAAAATAATCCAATTACAAAAACGATTTTCTTAGAACATAAGCCCGACGTTTTAAAACGAGACATACTCAGCCAGAAATGTTCTAAGAACACTTCGTGCAGACCACAAAAGGGTCTTAGAACATTGTTTGGTAGGCCTGTAGGCGAGCTAGGACGCTTCGCCACTGCTTGAGGGAGGCAGGGCGCCCGAGAGGGCGCCGGCTTGGCGCTCCTATCTTCCCCTTCTCGAAGCCGACGGTGGTGAGCAGGTCGGGCGTGGTCATGCTTCTGCTGTGTGGTGGGGGAGCCCCGGAGGAGAGCGCGCCCGGGCTGGCCAGGGCTGGGGGGGGGGAGGGGGGAGGGAGGGGGAGGAGGGGACTGGAACCACTCAGCCCCTCTCCCACCTCTGCCACCGTCCCCTCCTCCTGCTCCTCCTCCTCCTCCTCCTGCTCCTCCTCTTCCTACTCCTCCTGCTCCTCCTGCTCCTCCTGCTCCTCCTCCTCCTCCTCCTCGTCCTCCTCCTCCTCCTCCTCCTCCTCCCTCTCTTTTTCCTCCTCCTTGGGGCACTCGCAGAATCTCCAGCCACCCCAGGGTTCCTGAAACCTGGACCCATCTAAAACCACACGGCCCCTCCCAAATCCCTTCCTCCACTACCATTTCTCCTCCTAGTTGCCTTCATTCTCCTCCTTCTCCCCCCGCCCCCAGACAACATTCCAGAGCCCCCAGAAACCCACCTCAGAATCCGCTGTATACCCCAAACAAGTCCCCACGAGCCCTCACTCCCACCCGTCCTACTCATCCTCCGTCCTATGAAACTCTGTGCCCCCCTCGCTGTATTGCAACAACATACTGGCCCTTGTCTACGACAAACCCACACTGCAATCCAGCAAGAGAAAACATACCTGTGGAATCCGTCGTGTGATCAGAAAAGGGTGGGATGAATGCAACTTCCGGATTGCTGGTGACGTCGGATTGGGTTCCCGAGTTATGTAACCAACGATCCTGATATCGATTGATCTACAAATATCGCCGTTCTTGAATATATCGGTCGATCTGACTAATTACAGACCGGTCTCCCAACGTTCATACCTGTATACTGTGTGATCTATGTATATACAGTTATGTAAATGCATTGATATTGATGTCGCTAACTACGAATCGATGGATCTTCATATCTATCAAATCCCACAACCGACCGACCCCATTATGAATATACCAATCGATGCCACAATCTATTGTTATCACGAACACCGGGCTTGTAAACGGAAGAGCCACGAGACAATCGCGGGACAACCTCGGAACAAAAAAACACCCGCGTGACACACAAGACATGCGAACACCACGCGACCACCACGGGACAACTACGAGACAATCGCAGAACAACCACAAGACAAGTATTCACTTCGTGGAGCTCCGCATATGTGCATCTCATGGTTTATATTATGCCGTAGTAAGCGTCTGTTCATGAGCGTTTGACTATACTAGCCAGTCCACTTTGGCGACAGGCCCGACGAAGACGAGTGCATCCTGATGCGAGTGAGTGAGTATGAGTCAGAGTGAGCTGAGTATGATTGAACATGAGCCTCTTCATCTTCACTCCCCCTCCTCAGCTGCCAGGCCGTGCCCTCCTCAGCCTGCGGTAACTTCGGAGCTTCCCAGATGTGCATACTCTTACTCCTCCTCCTCCTCCTCCTCCTCCTCCTCCTCCTCCTCCTGCTCCCCCTTTCCTCCATCCTCACAATCTGCTATGAAAGCCAAGGATATTGAGCACGAAAACGAGCAAACCGCCTGAGACATCCCCACAAACTGGCCGCAAACGGGCCCGTGATATACCCCCTGGCGGCTCCCCTTAGGGGTGCTGAAGCCAGCGCCCCGCCTGAGACATCCTCACAATCTGCTATGAAAGCCAAGGATGTTGAGCACGAAAACGAGCAAACCGCTTGAGACATCCCCACAAACTGGCCGCGAACGGGCCCGTGATATACCCCCTGGCGGCTCCCATTAGGGGTGCTGAAACCAGCGCCCCGCCTGAAACATTCTCACAATCTGCTATGAAAGCCAAGGATGTAGAGCACGAAAACGAGGAAACCGCTTGAGACATCCCCACAAACTGGCCGCGAACGGGCCCGTGATATACCCCCTGGCGGCTCCCCTTAGGGGTGCTGAAACCAGCGCCCCGCCTGAGACATCCTCACAATCTGCTATGAAAGCCAAGGATGTTGAGCACGAAAACGAGCAAACCGCCTGAGACATCCCCACAAACTGGCCGCGAACGGGCCCGTGATATACCCCCTGGCGGCTCCCCTTAGGGGTGCTGAAACCAGCGCCCCGCCTGAGACATCCTCACAATCTGCCGTGCGTTGAGTAACTCAGACTATGAGAAGGTCTGAGTATGTGTGGGTCTGAGTATGAGTAAGTCTGTGTATGAGTACGTCTGGGTATGAGTAAGTCTGAGTATGAGTCAGCCTGTGTATGAGTAAGTCTGTGTATGTGTACGTCTGGGTATGAGTAAGTCTGAGTATGAGTAGGTCTGAGTATGAGAATGTCTGAGTGTGCATAAGTCTGTGTATGAGCAAGTCTGGGTATGAGCAAGTCTGAGTAGAGGAGGAGAGGAGGAGGGAGGAGGAGGAGGAGGAGAGGAGGAGGAGGAGGAGGAGGAGAAGTAGGAGGCGTCCAAATAATAACAATAACCCCATCTTAGAATATGGGGAACTACGGGATAACAAGAAACAAACGCGAGACAACCACGAGACACTGTTAATCGGTCCTTCATGTGTGCAGCAGGGCGGACTCTGTAACACTTATTGCAAGCACCACCCTAGAGACGCAGCTGGAGCAGCACTGCATATGAAAGTATACCGATGGGACTTCGGTACTCGTTCCTCCTCATCCGCTTCCTCCTCCTCCCCCTCCTCCTCCTCCTCCTCCCCCGCTCCTCCGAACGAGGACCGAAGATGAGGGGAGAAGGAAGAGGAGGAAGAGGAGGAGGAAACAAAAAGGACAGGTTTGGCCGACCCGGCCCAACCCGATACCTGAGGCCCCGATGGCCACAATCTCGTCGTCGTCGCTCTCTGGCCCGTGCGCGGGCCCCGCCCTTCCCACTCCACTGACGAGTGGAGAGAGGAGGACAAGGAGGATGAGGAGGAGGAGGGGGAGGAAGAGGAGGAGGAGGAGGAGAAGGAAGAAGAGGTGGCGGAGGAGGAGGAGAAGGAGGAGGAGGAGGCGGAGGAGGGGGCGGAAAAGGAGGAGGAGGAGAGGGAGAAGGAGAACACACACAGACAACAAATCGCGCACTAACTTCGTAGCGCGGTAGCTCGGCAGTTAGGCTCTGTGTCTACCGAGAAAAAAACCCTTTTTATCCCACAGCGCGCTGGCGTCACAAGGCCCAGGCGCTGTAGGCATCCAACTCCCGCGCTCAAGAAGGCGAAGTGGTTGCGTGCACTCGAATATGGAAGTACATTGCAGTTCGAACTCCTGTGTCGCAGCTGCGTCCTTTACCCTTCTGATAGCGGGGTGGGGGATTAAGGAGGGGAGTCAGAACATGGAGGTGGGTAGACGTCTGGAACATATGCGCAGAAAAGGCTGGGCACTGAAGCAGCCGGGAGGCGTCCTGCAGCGGCGAGGGCAGCGCACCTCGCGCTTGCACGGAATGGAGGTAGAGGAGAAGCCGCCCCACGGCTCACGTTGCCCAGCTGCGGCGCGCCTGCGCGCACCTTGGCTTGAACTCGCTCACCTACAAGCTCGAGCTCTGACTCGCGCTCGCCTTCCAGACTCAGGCCGCCTGGCCCGTGGGATGGACGACGCGGTGCACCTCGCGTTGGAGGTGTCCGCGCCTAGGCGATCCCACCCTGCGCCGGCCACCGATCCTTGTGGATCTCGCGCGCCAGGGCGTCCTCCACGATACTCATATGTTTGGCGAGCGTGTCGGAGGGAACAATCAGCAACACTTCATCATGCTTATGATGGTGCTGCTTGTTTTTTCGTAGCCTGGAAGTGGATGCTGCTGCCGCCCCAGATCGATGAGTCCTCTTAGCAAACGACGGTCTTCCAGAACTCCTCCAGCACTGCCTTCTCCTCGGGTGTTACGAGCGAGACCAGGTCCTCGATTGCTGCAGCGACGACGACTCGATGCGGCGGGCCCAGCTATGCGATGTCTACCTTGCTGTTCATTGCGCGCTGCTCTTTCAGCACCGCGGCGCCCCCGCTGCGCTTTTGTCCTGCTGCGTTTGCGGACGTGGCCAGGGCCTCTCCGCGTTCAGCCCCCACGCCTCGCACGCGGCTGTCTGCAGCTCCTGCGCGCCCCTGCTTATTACCATCGCCAGCTTCGCCGTGGTGGCTAAAATCTGCATCAAGCGGTCGACGTCTAGTTTCTTGCCTTTGCCCGCGCCCTGTCCCATGCGCTGCTTGCGCAGCGGGTCTTCCCCCGTCTTGGACACGTTCCGCTCGGCCGTCCACTTAGGGGCGGTGGGGGAGGCGTCGCTGTCGATCGCCGTCACCTGCTGCGCGGCGGCGTCAGACCCAAGCGCAATCAGGCCACGGCGCCCCCGGCGGGGGCTCGGGCGGCCCGGCAGGCGCAATCGGATCTGATGGGGCCAGTGGCTGTAAGATGGCCCGCGGGAAATGGCTGCGGAGGTGGGTGAAGAACTGTTGTTCGTTGGCATCGGCAGAGTCACATATCGCACATTTCGGGTCGAATGGCAGCCGGTTTCCTCGCGCGGCCCGCGTTCGCTGGGCACTGCCCACGAAGAAACACCTTCGCGAGGCGCCGTCGCGGGAGGCGAGGTTGCTGAGCTCGCGTCTACTTCGCATCTCTGGCGTCGCGCGCCCCTGGCGTCGGAGGTGTCGGCGCGCGATCTCGGACAATGCCGCCTCCTCCTCTGCTGCATCTGTCGCGGCGACATGGGGGCCCGGGCGGAGACCCGGAAGTGGGGCGGTTTTGGCTCGGCGGTCTTTCCTGGGCTCCTTGGGGCCCAAGCGTCTGTGGGGCCCCCTGGAAGTCGGCCTCAAAGAACTTGCCCGGCCCGCTGTCGAGATCCCCAAAATTGCTCGCGAAGCTGCCCGAGCGGCTGGCCTCGTCCGAGCCATCCCTTGCTCTCTTAGCCCACTATTTACTCGATGGGCGGGGGGCGCCGTGATACAGACTGTCTGTTCACTTTCAATCACCGGTTTTCCGAAGGTGGCGATGGGGAGCTGGCGGCGTCGCGCTGGGTCCATCGGAACCACCCGGGCCCGCGCGGGTCGCCGCGCGCGCGCCCCCGCCTGGGCGGGTCGCATTCGCCAGTGA